CCTGGTTCCACGACAGCCCAGAAGCTCTCATTTCCTCCTCGCACGACCTCCTCCATGTCACCCTCGGACGTCCAACTCGTCGCTTCCCATGGGGATTCCACTCGAGGGCCTGACGCGTGATGTCCTCAGTCGGCCTTCTCAGTGCATGGCCAATCCATCTCCACTTCTTCCTGCATATTTGTTGCGTGATAGGTTCTTGGTTGGTTCGTTCCCAGAGTTCCTTGTTGCTTATTTTTCTGGCCATCTGATCTTCAGCAGCGAGCGTAAGCAGTTGTTGATGAATGTCTGTAGTTTATTGGAAATCCTTTCGTGACGCGCCAAGTCTCTGAGCCATACAAGAGCACTGACTTGACGTTGGTGTTGAAAATCCGTATCTTGTTCCACATGCTGAGTGCAGAAGATCTCCACACTGGTTTCAGGCTAATGAACGCCTGTCTTGCTTTTCCGATTCTGACTTTGACGTCCTCGTCCGTCCCGCCTGTAGTTGAAACAGTGCTTCCTAGATAAGTGAAGGAGGTTACTTCCTTCAAGTTTCTCCCGTTGACGGTGATTGGAGTTTGTTGTTGTTGTTGATGGTGGTGGTGCGGTATCTTCATCACCTCTGTCTTCTCTATATTCACCTGAAGTCCCGTCTTCGCTGCCTCTTCTATCAACTTGTTAGTTTTTGCCTGCAGATCTTCAAGTTTATGTGACATTAGGCATAAGTCATCGGCGAAATCCAAGTCTTCTAGGTTCTTTTCCGTCGTCCAGTGTATCCCCCTCTTCTCGCTGCCTACTGTTTGCTGCATGATCCAGTCCACCACAATCAACAAGATCATGGGGGATAGTAGGCAACCTTGTTTCACTCCTGTCTTCACTTCAAAGGCATCACTGAGCTTCCCATTGTGGATTACTTGGCATGTGGCATCTTCATATAGTTGTTGAATGAGGCGGATAAAGGTTTGCGGTACTCCGTAGTATTGAAGCAGTTTCCAAATTACTTCTCGGTCGACGCTGTCAAAGGCCTTCTCAAAGTCGATGAAGTTGAGGTGGAGAGGTGATTGCCATTCTACGCTCTGTTCTATGATGATACGAAGCGTTGCAATTTGGTCTGCACATGATTTGTACTTCCTGAAGCCTGCCTGTTCCGGTCGCAGTTTTGAATCCAGTGCATCTTTAAGCCTCTCCAGGATGATGCGGCTTAATATTTTACTTGCTCTGGGTGGACAGGAGAGTGATTCCGCGCCAGTTCTTGCAAGCACTGAGGTCTCCCACCCTTCTTCGGCAGTTTGACAAGGTAACCCTTCTTCCAATCAACTGTCAGGTACCTTCTCTTCCTTCCACACCTTCTGCAATAGTGGTGTGAGCATGTCCGCTGTTGTCTCTGCATCTGTTCTCAGTGCTTCTGGCGGTATTCCATCTGGTCCTGCTGCTTTCCCGCATTTCAGTAGCTTTATGGCGTTCAGGACTTCCATTTTCGTTGGGGGATTAATGTTCACTTGTAATTCAGCGGCTGCAGGTGGTATTTCTGGACGAAGTGCAGGTGGTGGTGGTGGTCGATTCAAGAGCTTCTTGAAGTGGTCGGCCCATCGTTTCCTCTGTTTCTCTTCTTTTGTAATTAAATTTCCTTCTTCATCTTTTATTGGTTTCATCTGTGTTGGTCTCTTCCCTGATAGCAACCTGGTTATTTGATACAATGTCGTCAGGTCTCTCTTACCTGCAGCCTGTTCTGCTTCACTTGCCAGTGTGTCGTAGAAGTGTCTTTTGTCTTTGCGTGCACTCTTCTTCACTTCTTTGTCCAGTGTTTTATACATTGTGCTCAGTTCCTCTTGTCGTTGAGCATCCTTGCACTGGTTTATCTTCTGCTTCACCATCCTCCTCTCCTCTATCAGCTTCCAGGTATCCGTCGAGATCCATTCCTTGTCTTCTTTCTTCTTCCTTCCTAATACTGTTGTGCAGGTTTCTTTCCACATAGCTTTCAAAGACTTCCAGTGTTCTTCCACACAGGTTTCTTCAGGGATGTTGCTCGATGTCTCCCATTTTGTCTTGATGGCTGCCTTGAAGATCTCCTTTGTAGTTTCATCCTTCAGTTTCCGAGTGTTGTACTTGAATTGAGGTCTATCACCAGCTTCCTTGAAGGCTTTTAACTTGATTTGGAAGGTTCCTTGCACTAGGTAGTGGTCTGAACCTACATCTGCTCCTCTTCTTGACCTTGTGTTAAGTAGACTGCGTCTCCATTTTCTTGAGATTGAGATAAAGTCGATTTGATTTTTAGTGTGTCCATCTGGTGAAGTCCATGTCGCTTTGTGGATATCCTTGTGCCTGAACACACTGCCTCCAATCACCAAATCGTTGAATGCACAGAATTCTGCAAACAATTCTCCATTCTCATTCATTTCACCTAGCGCCTCTCGACCCATGGTTAGTTCTCTTCCCGTGTTGTCCCCTCCCAGTTTGGCATTCATGTCGCCCATTAGAATTTTGATATCGCCAACTGACGTCTTGTCCAGTGTTGATTGAAGTTGTCTGTAGAATTCCTCCTTTTTCTCTTGCTCTGCATTATTTGTAGGCGTTCTGCATAACATTGTATGATTGTGACCTTTCTTCCTTTTGAGTTGAATCTTGCTGTCATGATCCTAATCCTGGAGGAGATTGGTTCCCACTGCATGAGAGCCTTCGATGCTCTTGAGGACATCATGATAGCCACTCGAAAACTCAGTGTGCTCGTGGTTGGCGTCTGGGTGACAATATCGGAGTAGATTATTGACTCTCTTCTCCAGTTGAAGTTTGGAGAGTCCACTCCCATTCCATCTGCTTTCGCAAATCCCAAGCACTTCGATGTTATACCTTCTCATCTCCTTTGCAATCTGGGCTGCCTTACTGGGTTCAAACATCGTGCGGACATTCCATGTCCCCACGTTTACTTTCGCTTTCATCTAGGGAGAGAAGACACATCGGCCAATTGGCTTCCCGAAGGCTTTCACCAACTGGCGTCATTTCGCCTCTCCGATTCCAGCGGGGAATAAGTTTGTTTTCATTTTTTATATTTTGTTTGTGCTTTGAAGTTTCTTTAGCGGTTAGATTTGTTTTACGGGGTAGGGTTGCTAGCCCTATGCCCAACCTTCCCTCTTTACCCGGGCTTAGGACCGGCTAGTAACTAGTAAACTAGTTAACCAGGCGAGGTTATGAAGTCCAAGTTGGTGGCTGGATATTAAGGCCTTCCTTTCCGTTAGGTGAATTAGGATTCAACATAATGCAGAATACCCCAGCTATCCATCTTTCCTCTTATCTTGAAAAGCCTTTGTGACCAATTTTAATACTCTCAGTGTCAATTTGTGACTATGGGAGATGGCATGAATTGAAATTACGATTTAATTCGTATATTCTCTAGTTCTATAGGGTTATTTAGCGGTCATTTTGTTAATCTGGCATGACTAATCAATATAAATAAACGTCAGCTTAATCTGTAGATGCAACTTTGTGTGGATGTAAAGGAATTATATCTTTTAAGTGGACTAAAATACTCCTGAGACTGTTGTAGAATGTTCTCATTCTGTATTTTCTCAAAATCCTTCGTGAATCTTCACAGTTGTAGCTTGGCAGAATAGTGGAACTACTATACAACCGTTCATAAATGAGGCTTTTTTATATTTTGATTCAGCTTTCGCCTAGGAATTGTTTTTCAGGTTGTAGATGCACCTAGCTGAAGAGTGCCAACAACTACGAAACACGGGTGAAGCAGGGACTCCTGATGATTGCTCCCAATAGACCAACATCCATATAAGTACACCGCAATAGAGACCTATTTAGTTTCGTAACCACACTGGAAAAAATGATCAATGGGATTCGGTCAGCGCTTATCACTTACCCATCCCCTAAAAGTTGGAGCGACGTAGGGTGACATCTACCAGACCTCGCAACTACTCATCCTAACCATCATCATCTGAACTTGAAGATTCTCTCGTCAAACAGTTAGCAGTCTATGTGCTTCATAAGTCGACACTTCAAAAGACGTTTTCCAATCAATGCAAATTTATTGAGATGTCACTAAATTCAAACTCGATTGTGTATAGAAATTTCTTTGTGTTGGTTGGAAAAAGGGTTTCTTTTCTTATGTCCATTTATTGCCATTTTTCTCCTGTTTTGTGAGAATCGGTTAGGACTTCTGAAATTCGGTGTGCAACTGATTGTAATAATGAAGGTCAGAAATTAGACTATACTGATTCAGTTTGGGCACGAATTAGTGTGTTGGCGAATTGAAGGAACACTTCAGATTACTACAGTTGAGATGAATGTTTCATTGTGTTTATCTGTGCTGGACGTTTTGACAGTTAGCTATTCCATTCCCAAGTGATGACTGAATTCTAACGATCATTTTAATCTACACTCTGCTGAGGAGTCCCATACTAGGACGAAACAGCTGTCGAGTGCTCCCATATTTTCAGTAGTTCTCCAAATAATGCTCAGAGAAGGTATTTTATTAACTAATATCATTTCACGAGGTGAAGTCAAGATGCAAAGGCGTGAACACCTTTTCTTCATTTACTACTGTCCTACCCTTAGCAAAAATATGCTTCAGTCATTAGTTCCACTATGATGAAGGTTGTTGTAAGTCTGTGGTTCGTTGGTTTAAGATGACTTCCAAGCAATGGGTAATTAATTTGAACACCTCTGTTTCATCTGCTAAGGTTTAGGCAACTAGATAGTATCACTGGCCCTCACACAATCGGGTATTGCTTATTCCCCACTGCACCAATGTATACATGTTTGCAGAGTGCATCTGAAGCTGATTGAAAGGCTTTCGTTTTCAACGAAGATCAGCTTGATTTTAAAAGCCAATTCTGCATGATAAACTCAGGTGAGCTTGACTCACTCTTGAGCAGATGGGCACATTATCAAATATTTTTTCATTTTTACAGGAATACAGTTTTTCCGAGTTTTTAATTTTCAGAAAAGTCAGTGAACATACTGATAGTGAGAATTTTGCTCATTATTTATATTGGTACAAATCTTTTCTTCAGCAATTCGACGGGATCCAATCACTGGTCTTGGCACATTGCCGAAAGAACACACAAGGAATTCCTCAGTTGATCGACTAGGTGAGTTCATCATTTTGTGAGGTACACTGACCTTTAATATTTTCTGAAATACCCATCAAGCGCTGTTCATGAAAAATGCATTCAGTTTTTGCTTAGTGGAGGATCACTAAGTTTTACAGACTTTGTTCCTTGTTCGAGAGTCATCACACCTTGGGGGAACGAATTCGAAACCTTCCGGCCACACATTGAGTTCATTAATATCCAGTGTACGTCTGTCCGTTTTTAGAATTGCTCAATCACCTTTCAGCGGCATGTATTAGTTTTTGACTCAACGCCTGGCTTGTTTGACCCCTTGTCAGAAATTCAGGAGGTCAACCTCGGCTTCAACCCCTTCTTATGGAGTGTGAACATGCGCTCCTGAAGAATCACAAACTTGGGCAAAACAGCTATTCACTGCACTCAGGTTTTGAGTGATAATCCAAACGATTTCAGCTGATAGTGAAGACTATTATGGCATTGTAAATGCATTGAATAATGAAAAAACATCAACCTCCACCGGAACTTTTCAAATGATAAGCCATTCTTTCATGCGACTTAGTTTGTTTAGTGAATGCCTCGAAAGTTATCCCAGAAAAGTTTGACTCTGATTAGGGTGAGGGATTAAAGATTGTGTTTTAATTTACGATAAGATAGTATAAAAAGCCCAAAATCCTACAACTTTTCACAACAATCATATTTCTTCTACGTTTCGCACTAAAAGCACGTGGATCTACTTGCGAATATCACAAATTAGTTGAAAAGACGAAAATCAATAGGTTAGGTCATTTCAGAGCGGCCTAGGAATAGTAAGGTCATTGTAAATATACCTAAACCGTTTTACTTTGAAGTCGCAGCACATCTCTCACTCTAACTACCTTTTGTATTTACTGAGAACTGACCAACCATCAAGGATAGGCATCTGAACGTTACCGTCCAAGTCTCAAATCTCAGAATGTGCATAACTAAGGGATATATCAGATAGTGGTATGTTGAATAGTATATTCTTGCGTCGACCCAGTCGCCAACTTGCTATAACTTTAGCCTGCCGCAATCGACGTAAGCACGTGATTCGGCTTATTCAGTACTGGCGCTAACCGTGAAAGCGATTGGTCTCCAATATGCCTGTCCAGTCTCGTATACCCAATCCACCTACACGATGGATCGCGCAGTTTGTAAAATAAAGGTCATACAGAAACAAGTGAGAAATCAGTCGAAAGCTTTTTAACCGAGTTATACAACAGCATTACCGACTAGGTCATCAGTAGAATAACTTTTAAAATAAATAAAACAATAAGACCAGTGATACCTATTTGAGGAGATTCACACTTTCTGCTTTTCCGATGATATAAAGTTGAGATAAAATGAAATAATTTCCAGACGAATTTATTCTCAGCTGCTCACACCCGACTCTATTCTTCTGTATTCAGACTCAGTCCTTTTAGTCTGAATTCAAAAGAAAAAGAAAATAAATCAACGACGGGAAGGCTGCCTTGATGGCTGTATTGATTATCTGAAAATCAAAATCAAATATTTTTCAGTGGAATTCATATCGTATTGGAGACAAAAGTTGTAAAATATATGTCAACTAACCAGTTGTATGAGATAAACTTTGTAAAAAAAACGTTTAGAACATAAATATCTAAATGAACATGCTGCTTGACTGTTCCCAAAGTAGACAGTAACAATGGAAGCACTTTGAACTTTAATTAAAACTGGTATACGGTGAACAAAAGGTGAATGACTCCGAGACGATTTTGAGTTACGATGAACATGCTGACAGCAGCATGATTGTGTGTTTGCATTCAACAAATACCAAGTAGACCGGTGCACTTCTAAGAAATTGTATGATTTACTGTGGATGCATTCATGGAAATTCAAAAGCAGTTTCAAGGGTATCAGAAGTATTTTACTGCTGTCATATGTGGTCACCTACCCGTCAGTACGCAAATCAGGTAATAATGATACTAAAATAGGATGACCAATTTGCAAATATTTTACAAATTGCACGATTCACGTTGACGCATTTTTCACGGTTAAGTAATTTTTCAACTCCCATCCACTGTGGTACCAGTCAGCAGGGTTCCCACTGAAGGCCACTCGCTAGCCAAGGTCACAACGTGCGATCTCTGACACAAAATTGTCATGAAATAACGAAATTTACTACTGCACAATTTGAGTAGTTAGAAATCCCTGAGGCTAATCTGTAGAGTTTCATCAGCCAGTCATTGATAATTCATAAATGAAATGGTCTTTTACTCACCTGTTAGCAAAACTTAATGTTTGTTCTTACGTGGAAAACAAAGATTTTGAAAGACAATACAAGTTGAATTAGTTATTTATACTCAATAAACATAAAACTATGGTTGTTTACATTTTGGTTGACTCTGTCTCTCGATGCTTGAAGGTTATTCCTAACGTTGTGAATATCTCAACATATTTACGCATTGGATTCCATGTGTTCATTGCTTGCATTGTCTGCCTTATTCTGTTTAGTCGCTAGTTGATCGATAAATTCAAATAATAATCAAATTATTATTATTATTGTCTACGTTAGTTCAAAGCGGGGGAATTGACAAGCGTAGCAGAAGTGAAGAGACACAGTGAAGAATGATTAGACGACACGATTTTCTTTTGCAAAATTCCCATAATTTACTGATTTTCGTGTAGAAGATTACAGTAAGGAAAAACTGGATTTGTTGTGTTGTATTTAAAGCAAACACATACCAAGAATCGATTATTACAGAAATTCCTTTCTCTCTCACTTGTCTTCCTTATGTATGTGCCTTGGATAGCTTAAGATGAAAAAGAGGAAATAAACCCTTCAGATGATTTATACATTTAGTTAGAGGACATAAGGTCCCTTATTTTGTCGATACGCCTTGCAAAAAGGACCAACAAACAAAAACCTACTTTCAACACAGGTTCCTGCTGATTGCCTCCAACCAACTATCATCCATACTAGCGCATCGTGATGGTGAATCATCTAGCCTAATGACCGTATTGCGAAATGGTTGATGGAATTCGGTCAGTACTCAGGACTATACAACTTGAGATTAGTTGGTCTCCAGTGACCAGTCAGTTAGTCCAATCCAGTCCTACAGAAGATCAGTTGTAGCCCGAATAACTTGGTAGTAACTTTGCTGAATGTAGCAGTGTATGATGTGGGTTAGAATATCACAGGGGACGTCAGTTCTTTCAAGGTTGCAGACTGACCTTACGGACAAGTGCCAGCGGGGAACAGTGCTTCCTGCCGATTACTGTCTAGTATCTTAAGAAGACATTTATTCTCCAAACTGTCAGAAAATCTGGTGGCTTATTTAACTTTCAGCCAGCAGGTATTTTTACTCTACCAAGGATTGATCATTTTTGTCGCCTGTCTTGAAAGCCATATGAAAGCATTCAATGCAATAATTATTAAGGATAGTTTTGATTACAACACGATTTATTCTGATTTTCCGCCATGTTCTCAAATAAATAACTATAAAAATTTTGGAAGGAATTTGAAAGGGTGTCCTTAGACTCAGTGTTTTGCAAATCTCAGAGAATTTGTGCGTATTACTCAGGGGAGCGCTTTTTAGATACCTCATCATTTGAAGCGAAGTAGCATCTCATGGTTAGATAAATTACACTGACTGAAGAACTGAACAACACCTGCCCAATGGGTCACCTACTTGAAAAAATTCTTTCTAATTAACTGATGTCTTGTTCAGCTAGAAATTGTGCACAACTCCATTGCATTCTCTGTCTAATATGAATGACTTCAGTCAAAAGCTAGGGTCAGTTACAAGTTAGTCTACCATTGTCTGGGAGCTGATTCTTGATGATAGTTGCCACTGAACGTTTGCCAATCTACAGAAAGATGGGCGTGGAAAGTGTACATTAACTTACCCAGTCATCGTTTTTCAGGTGTACGTGAATTAGAACGGTGACAGTCACTATTTATTCACCACTGACAAGGATTTTTGATATGAGGCATATGTTATTCTCATTTTGAACATCTGAAACAGTCGTTGTTCGGCAGATAAGTATTGATACTGAGTGATGATTGAAGGTGAAGTGAAAATTTTGGCCGCAGTGGGATTCAAACTAGCGACCGTTTGGCTCCCGGCAGGCTACTCTACTAAGTAAGATACGAGACTCGAAAGGTAACCAGACTTTTATTTCACTTCAAACCCCAACACTTCCACCTGACTGCCATGTGAATTCGTGACACGTTACTGTCAGTCTCCAGTAGTGGCCGACATGCACTGCCTTTCTCTGTCTTTCCCAAGAAAGAAATCAAACCACATTGTGGTCCTATAAAGCCGCAATTGTCTGGATAAACCCTAGGATATAGTCAAGGCCAACAAATAAAATAAGAAATTCAGAATATTAAACTGACTTCTGAAATTCTTTCCAATAAATGGTTTCTTTATTCTATTTTCCCTGATCAATATTATCTTCCCCACAGTTGACTCTTGGAAGCTTGAAAACTGACAGTTTGCCGATAAAATATCTGTTTGTTGTAAGGAGGCAGTCATCCCTGTTTGACATAGTTTTCGTGCTTTTTGTGGCATACGCAGCCTCAAAGGACCTGATGACCTTCTGAGAATAGAACTCATACCACTCAGTATTGTAATCAGTAACGTTACCAGCGAGCTATTCAGGCGTCAACTGACTTCCCGTGGTTACTTGGTGACTGAAGAGAAACTAATTTCATGTTGTCTAGTCCAAAGATAGATGAGAACCTCATAAACAGATTGAAACGATTATTATTATTATTATATTGTTTTTTGATGTTTGTAACAAATAAAACCGATCACCACAAGGGGCGACTATCGCACCTTAGTGGCCTAGTGGTTAACGCTCTGTCACTGGAAGCGATATCTATGGGGTCGGAGTCTCAGTGAGAATTCTATCACTCACTTGGTACCAAGTAGAAGGAAATACACCTGGTATATTACACATCTGGCCACAAGCAAGTCGACTGACCTTATATACCTGAAATAATTCATTGAGGTTTCCACCTTCACTCTCCACCTCTGTATTTAAAACAGGTTTTAACTCAACACTGATTGCATGGGATGCTGACAATGCAGCAACAGTTTGTCAGGATAATGGACACTGCCCGAAAAAGACAAAACGTAAGTTTGATTCACTTTTCCTCTATGTGTGTATCATGGCTTTCGAGAGAAACAATTATATGTCAGTTTTTCGCCTACTAAACACGGAAGTCCGATAGCTTATATTCAACCACGACCATGAGTAAGCTTCATAGTAACATGCGTGGGATGAAGAAAGGTGCAAGTGGAGATTGTTAACGGATGGATTCTTCACCGTTGGTTCACCTCCTTCATCACCAAGGTCTGTAGACGTAAGTTAGAGAAGATTATGGAAGTTTGATTCATGCGAATGCCTCCTCAAACTTGAGGATAGTTTAAAATATCCGAAATTTGGCCTAATTCAGTAAAAGCAAATAAGCATTGAACTCTACAGTCTCGTCCTTGCTTCTGAACTAAATAATTTCATCTGCAGTGATGTGAAGAATTTTCATTTGCTATAATTCCAAAGGCATCTTAGAATATACAAAGCGGTCATGAGTCCGATGTCAATAAAAGTACTGCCAGATGACTGAGTATTTGAAATTGTTGTCTGTTTATCTGAATGAATATCAAGGAAATATAATGGAGGCGACTTCGCTGGAAATGGAAGGCCCGGAGATTCTTCCAGTTACATGGGATCCCAAGTGACGATTAGGTTGGCGATAGGCACTTCAACACCGATTGACGAATTAGAGACCTAGCACAAAATGCTTTGTCTTTGATTTCACATTCTTATTTGCAAAGTTCGAGTAAACACATAAGGAGAATAAGGCAGTGAAGGAACACAACTCGAATAGAACACATAAGGATCTTCGTCGCTGATTGAACCCAATTGATTGGGCACTGTTGTCATATGGACTCGTACGTGGATGCCACGATATTACCGGTATTTTCAATTCGTGATATTAGTGATGAATAACGGCTATCCATCTGAAGGAATTATTATGATATGTACGGAGAAAGTTCAATTCATATTTGAAGGCGAATACTTGCGACTAATCCTGTGGTCGCTGGTTCGAATCGTGCTAAAAGCCAGATTTCCATTTCACCTTGAGTCGTCACCCAGTATCAATAATACAAGTCTGCCAAACCACGGTAATCCCAGGCTTTCAAACTTATAACAGTGTGCAAACTCATATCAGCCTTATTTGTGTGAAGGAGAATAATAATCATCAGCTACTCTTAGAAGTACTCTTGAGTCGACGAGATGATTCAATAGGACAGACAGTTTTCAGCTTTTGTCCTATCCAATAAACATGAAGTCTTATTAAATGCCCATTTTACAGGACCTCTTTTATCTGTACATCGGATACAACAGAGGAAGATATCAAATACTGACCAGAACACTTATGGGGAACGGATATCGGTTGGCGTTATAAACCGTTGTAGGAGTCATCTAACACCAGCATTTTGTATCCAGTTCCTAAGAAAAGTGTTCACATTACTCTGCCGTACAAAGAAGAGTTGAAATGTATAATTTTGAGATGTGGGTTAACATCAGCTATTAAGAAAACATATATACAGCTAAGATTGTCGCTATGATGAAGACGAGACAAATTCTTCACCCAAACCAAACCCTATATCAACGATTAGGTCATCCCACTGTGATTACCAGTTTACATTTTATATGAGTGTGATCACATATGCCCAGGGAGGAGTAATTGAGCTATACAGTTAAGGGACAGAGACAACGTGTGCCTAAATGGCTTCAAAAGCATATGGAGTGTGAAACTTTGATGAGTGCAGGTGGGAGACGACCCTTTTCATTTATAGTTATACATAATATAGAAATGGGTCACAAAATTAATGTTCAAACAACTTTCAAAGTTGTGTATATAAACAAGCAGGGATGCATACTTTGCGCAAACAATAGTCATACAACAATTGAAACCACGTTTATATGTACAACAACTATTTGTTCTAACACTACACTTACCTTCATAAGCTTTGTTTCCTTATCGAGATGAGGACCAACTATATCACTCCTTCTTTTTGTGCTCCTTTTCTGAATTTCATTCCCCTATGATCATAATTGTTCCATTTGTCTTCCACTGTTTGGTTTAACATAAATTGACTTGACAATTAAATGTGTCATCAGACTGCTCTAAATATGTGTTGCGCAATTAGATCACACATTGTTCGGATAAACTTTGTCTTCTAATTACACTACCTATATTTAGACCACATCTGACTCTCCAGCTCTGAAATATGTACTCTTCTATTCTTTCTCAAGTGATTTGATTTCTAGTGTTCCTGCTTATTGTAAGAATCGTCTTGGAGTCACCAGAAGTTCAAAACCCAAAACCTTGATTCGTACTTAAGAAATGAGTTTAACCTAATCCCTGAGCCAATTGTTTATGGTTTCCTTTAACTTTCTCACCCTTTCATATAGACCATCGGTCCACCTCCATCCGCACAAGTGAAAATTAAATTTATTACTATTTATTGACATACTTGTTATTTTCCGTTCTTTTGTTGGATCGAATTGTTTGACCTCTATTGGCATTAGAGGTTGCCACTAGAGGTCGAACAATCCGATCCAACAAAAGAACGGAGAATAACAAGTATGTCAGTAAACAGTTATAATTACTACCTGTTGTGGCTATCGTTCCTCCGTGGCATAGTGGATAAAGCCTTAGCGTTTGAAGTGATGGGCATAAGGTCCGAGTCTCAGTGGGAACAACATCACTGGGGTGCAGGTACATCCAGATGACGAGTCCCAATTTATCATAATCAAATTTACATTAGATATTTTCACCATTCACTAAAATTCATTAGTTCTATTGAAAAATTCTTTTTGGACAGAAAGTAATAACTTATTTTAGTCGGAAATTTCATCTTCACGAAAACTACTCATTTCCATCCATATCAGTAATATATCACATCATCTACAAACAATACATGTAAGCATATAGGCTGCAAGTAGTTCGTTCAAGAAAAATGACGTCAACTCCGATGAAACATTTTATTCATTTATTTTCCTAAAATAACAATACAAAACAAATGAATCATTGAAATGACTTCCTGATTGTAACCGTTGCACACACAACAACATGCGCGCGTCCGTCTTAGGAGGATGATGGACGTCAACTTGAATGTGTCACTGTTTCACGTACGTAGATGCGTACATGTATGTGTGTGCAGTTTGGCTTGATTATTCCACTACCTTTCATCTATGTGTACACCTTTCAGCCCACTCATCAATCAATACCCCTAAATGACTAATTAGCCATTTCATTCCACAGCTTGTCGGTATTCATACACTTGTTGAACTGACAGTTTGAAATTATTCACTATACCATATGAATCCGTCCATTTCTGTGTTGATTTTTATGCTCGCTTTTCTCTGAGCTTACTTAAAAGTATATTTTTGGCACATCGACAGATAGACACAAAATCAACGAAGAAGCTCGCATGCAAGTGCATCAACGGTTCAACTTGCCACGAAGAACAACTTAGTAGAAATAGAGCAACATTATAATAGACAAAGTTGCCTGAGAGAATAAACAGTCTGAAGATTTAAGTTAGTGCGAATATTCAAGCTTCAGATGACGTCCAAGAGTGAATACATCTGTGCGACTGTCACCAATTTTCAGCCATGTCTTCAAGAATCCTCAACCACTAATTTCTTTCATCTTGAGGACTCAAACCAGGTAGTCTACACCTCCCAAACAAGACTGAGACCAACGCTTAGAGACTCCATAGACTAATGACAGGTTTTGGTTTCGCCACCTTGAACCCTCTTCCAACCTAGTCGAATTTCGCCAGGATAGCACTTCGGGGTATGCGGTGGATCGGCATTCCCAGTACGTATACAAGCCATCTCAGTCGACTAAGGTTCATAAACTTACACGGCTGCTTGAATTCAAGTAAAGATTATCATTATATACTTTCTCAGTACTCCTTCAGACACTGACATAACACTTCACTGTCAACAGGGTCAGATACTACCTTTAGGTCAAGAAAAATGGCAAGTATTGGCTGCCAGTAGGTATCTCTGTGTTTCAGAACCTGTCAAAGAGTGGAAATATAATCAGTGCACCCTCTTCCAGGTTTGGTACCTGCTCGATATTCTTGAGCTTCAGTTAGGCATCGGATAACTATGGACCTTAGGATCTTGAAGACAATATTAGTTACACTGATTCTCCTATGGTTTTCACAGGAAAACATCTCTTCCTTCAAAAAAGTAGACCTGTCTGACGTCACTACCACTGATTTCTGTACAATACTACCTAGTACCTCTGTCGCTTTAGTGAGTAAGTTCCTGTCTCCATCCTTGAAAACTTCGGGTGGCAAACTGCTAGTTCCTGTTGCTTTTCATTGTCTCATGGGGAAAGGACCAGGTGATTAGTGACCAAATTACCCGTTTACCAAACACCCAATCGGACTATTCGTAAGTCAAAATGAGGAAGTGAGTCTCAATAGAACATTTTGCACGGTATGACTAACTGATATGAGTAGTATGAGACTGAATACTTAATTCATAATACATGACCCTATCAGGCATCTATTTTCTGAGTGGACGAAACTCATTCTATGCGGTTACTGAGTAAAGCCTACAAACCAACCATGATTTTGCCGTAGAATGAAACTATCCACCACTGCACACCCACGACCTGGTCAAGGCAGGAACCTGAGATCGTCAGCTGTTGCGGCAAATGCATTAACCATCCAGACACTGAGTCAGAATACAATGGCCCACATTTTCTGACTTATGGATTGGAAAGATCCGTAGTGGAAGAAAATGATTTGTCTTTAAATGCTAGTTGATAGATCTTAGTTAACCGAAATTTTGATGTCTGAACAATATTCTTCTGAACTCTGCTGATAGCTAAAGATATCCGCCCGAGAAATTAGCGGTGAGTGGGCAATCTGTAGATTGCAACTGTGGCTCATTGGTGCAAACATTTTATTTTCAACCAATAAGTCGTGGGTTAGAACCCTGCGCCATATACCAGGCAGCCAAGTGGCATTACCAACCATCACATACTAGGTGTGATGCATTGTCTACTGTATATGGTTGTTGAGTGGATTGTACTTGTTCTAGTAAAACTACAATAATCTGAAAGCCTAACCCTCATGTGGTTCGTATTAATTCGACCTATTCCTTAACTTGTTTAGATTAAATCAGCTGGGAAAGTGAAGGTATGGACAAAAATAATCTGGATGTGTTGTCTCTATAACTTTTCCATCTTACTGACATCAAAAATCAGAATTTTTGTTTGAATGGATCTATCTCCAGTGATTGATGCCAGTGGTTTTTACTGAAGTTGGTTGATACTAGTAGTTTCTATATATACACAATCAGATGAACTCTAGTCTCTCGATTGTATCAACTTCACTGATGACCCAAAGCTCCGAATATAAGTCAAGATTTGTGGAAACTTCATTTATTTCAAAGTAGCATTTATTACAGGTTGATATGAGTTGAAGAACCATTTGAAACCTAGAAGCACTGGACATTTAGTTCGTTCTAGCGTGAGACTCCTCAGTAGTAAGAACCCATGACTTCTCCAACTACTTTATTACAAAGAATAAAATGGAAGTGTTAATTTTTGCTACTTCTAGTATCTTACTATCCTGAATAACCATCAAGCATATTTATGCCTTCGTGAATAAATTTTATGTTGTGCATTTATTTGTGTGCAGAACCAACACGTAATCCGATTGCTTTGACCGGGGATCTTGGCACTGAAGTCGATGGACTGCGTACGACAAATGGTCCTCGTAGTGGAACTCTTAGAGAGCGTAAGTTTCACTATGAATTTAAAACTATTCAAGATATTGATGTTTGATAACACAAAAAGGCGATTACCGTCTGGTTGTATGAAATCTAAACCTCTCTAGTGGGCGTCATCATTTCTGAAAAGAGGCGTAAATTAACAAGCATCCATTCAAGAAAAAAATTAGGTCAAACTGAGGTTATTAAGAGTGAAATAACATAAGAGAGGGGGAAGAGCTTTCGATTGTTCTACGTTTCTACGTGAATGGGAGTGTGTGTGTGTATGTTCATCGAATGAACTCTGCGTTTGAATTCACATTGTCTAGGAAACTGATTGTAAGATGGATATCACCAATTTGAAAGTATTTCGAATCCGGAGAAAATTGTTTAAATTTTTAGTCACCATTTTTATCTTGCGAGTGAAACGGGAAACGTAGTTCTTAGTGTAATGAAGGTGGTGGAGGTGTTGCTCATAAGCTTAGACAGCTGACTTGTAACCAGTGGGTCACGAGTTCGAACCTTGCCCCATTTACCAAGGTTTGCATAACCAGACAGTACTATTGGCCTCTCCGCATGGCCTACCACAAGGACGTGCACAAGTTTACTGAATTTGTTCGGAAACAAGCTTGGAAGCACTCAGGACTAGACAACATGGAGTTTGTTACTCTGCAGTGACTAACAAATCCATCCCTCATCTTTTTTCTAAACTCCTATAAATCACCTTTACTTTCTTAGGTGGTTTAAATGAATAATCACTACATACTCCTTATTTAAGCAGTACATCTGTTCTGCAGTAATCGGAAGATTGCTGTCCAATTGGCACCAACATTATGGGCTTTCTCAAGTTATACAAATTCATGAGTATACGTAGCTTACTGATATCGGTAAATTCACAATTACTCAAAGAAAATTTCCCCTACATATCAAAAATTGCTCTCAATGTTTACTGTGTAATGAATTTTTAAAAGTTTTCTAAAAAGCCTATTTATTTATTAGCCCAAAAGTATAGTCATCGCATCGGTAACAATTTTCCCTGCTTCTTTTGTTTCTGAATTGACATTCTCGACAAAAGACATTTTAGGTCGATTGCATGAGTCATACTTTAGAGAATTTGAGTGCGTGTACGTGCGTGTACATAAGTACGTATGCATATTCCAAGATAAACCTGATTGGTCAATTTTACATTCATGCTATGTAATTAGCCACTCGAATTGGACTCGGGTAATCTTATTAGTATTTCTTTTATAGACATAATAAATGAGGTAAAAATGGCGGTATTGAAGCTAGACAAAATATTTTTTTCTTTGAAAAGTTGTTACATGGTGTTTCTTTCTTTTCCCTACTTCCCTCTTCTCCACTTATCCCTGAAGGCGAAATTACCTTGGCATTTTATTTATGAGAAAGACTATTGATTATTTTGTTTCAGAAGGCGATTGAAAATACTACTGGTTTGGTGTTTTACAGGTAAAATCATACAACTGCAAACACTTTCCTTTCATATACTTCCAAATATGAATAGAGTTTTATCATGGTACACTTTCTTACATGAATATAAAAAACTGTAAAATGTATTTTAGCAGAATAAAAATAAAACAAATAGTGAATTTATGGCTCATTCAAAAATGTTTATTTGATCAAGATGGGATTGTTTGCATACAAGAAGTGTGACTTATCCATGAGTACACCTGTCAGATATTGAGTAGATTAACTGCGCGTAATTTTTTCTTTTTTGTATAAATAATAGCCTCGAATAAGGTGTACAATCATTGATGTTTAATTGTTATAATTCACCTGGTGATGACTGGCAGAGCATTTCTTCTTAATTGCATGCCAGTAGATGATGCTGTTCTCAATGAGATGCAGCTACATTCATACAGCTGATGTTTCACAAATAGGATGAAATACGTTTTCTTGCGTAACTATTACTCTCCCAAGTTAGCCAAATACGCCACAATAATTACGTCTCGGAGAGTTACCGTGAATAAGGTCTACATGGCACCATTAGGTGATGTTGATGTCTAAGCTGCTGGCAAAGAAAACCAGCAATGGTATGTGCACTGGTGGTTACTGGTCGAGCCTAGTTACGTTACGACGGTTAGCCTCCTCTTCTCGCTGCTGGATTTGGACCACTACACCATCATAGTTGACTTTGAGGTAATAGCGGTCGACGAGATTCATATACAGTGATCAGTGTCATGGATCTCCGAAGCAAAAACGAGTCAGCTGACCGTCGTAATTACTCCCAGTATACTGGGAGCTGTGCAACCGAAAGGTAAAAGAAACCAGCTTCCTAATCCAGGTAATCACTATCGTTAAAGCAGTCCCATGAGACTTAGTGTCACTAGCCTTGTGAGGGTAGATGGTATTTTATCTCGAGTGCTGGTTATCGTTTCGCCACAGCCCTGGCCTTTGAAAGGTGGCCTTGAAGCAGCCTTCGTTTCTGAAATGTGAGTTCATAATAATCTATTGGGAAGGTGTGGTGCACTACTTTCTGCAAGATTGTGAAGATTCGGTGATGTGTATCTCACGCACGTTTGCCCACAAAGAGGCGAGTTCGATTTTACTACCTGGCGAATGTGGAAGTGTTGTAGCCCAACGATGGGGAAGGGTTTTGGGATTTACTGATCATTTCGCTACAGAGTTAAAAGAATCCTCTGTAGGAGTATTATTTTTAAATGTGGTTGCATTGCTATGGATCTTTCCTGCTCGGTGAATGGACTAACTTCTGGGTTTTAAAGATAGTGACGCTTAAACAGCTAAAGCCCGACCTGAAAATGGAAGCTAAGCAGGAAATTGGAGTAAAACTCTCCTTGAAAGCATGATTTGTGAGACCAATCCAGTGGAAAGCAGAAAGTACTTCTTGTCTGTGAAACTGGACGGTATACGTTAAAACCTTCTGTCCCCAGTGATGAAACGGTAAGCCAATAGACACTTCATTACTAGTTGAAGTTTGACACGTAAGTAGATCTTTAATGTGTGTATTTGTGAGCAGTATTTAACTATTATTAAGTAGATAGTGCCCGTCTCTATGCTCTCAGAAATATAATGATCAGTCTTATTCCATTCTGAATACTATACTGAAAATCGAAGAGGTCATCGTGACTACTATACCTTTATCTTTATAATAGGAAGCTGGTCAAATGGTACTCGACATTTGAAACCATCACCTGTTAAAGTAGAAGTTTATGGATTTTAATTTTGGTTTCATGTGACTGTGTGGTCAGGAAAAACCCTGTTGGACAATTTTGTCCAACTTTTAAACTAGTGGGTTTATATGTTAATGAAATTTGTCTATAAATGATACATTTTTGTCGAATCAAGTGTCTTCTTATCGTCGAAGTCTATTTTTGTCTTCTTATTTTCTCACCTCAGTAAACTATTAGGTCCTGTGGGAGAAAAATTCTTTTTCATATTCACTCAAAGTGTTCATCACTTTAGCATCACTTGCATATTTATTATTATTATTCACTCGGTCACTTCGTTGTCGAACTGTGGCTCGTTGGTTTAAGGGGATGGCTTCCAACCAAGAAGGTTGTGGGTTCGAGCACTGCTCAAACTAGTGAGGTCTGATTAGCTATATAATGAAATTAGCTATCACAAAATCGGAGAGACTCACTGCCTACTACAGGAGTGTGCACAAGGTTGCTGAGTACGTTTTGATTTCGAACAAAGCCGGATACTGCAGGGGGAGCGAAGTTCTCACACGGGTCTTTATTCACTGCGCTTTATATTATCCAATAAAGCTTTCGAAAAGTCTGTGGTCAATAGACTTTTGGAGCAGTCAGTCCCCACTTACATTTTACACTAAATCCAAGCTATTGCATTTCAGTGCCACAAAAATCAAGCAACAGATGGGTCATTCTGACTGTTGGTGTATTTACTAAGACCTTTTTTCATTTTATGTAATGAGACATGTATGAGTCAATTCCCATCCAGTAGTGACACTCCTGCTTCTGTACACCATACTGTTAAATATTTGAATGATACGGTGTCCGTTTACACTGGAATGAAATTAGACCGGATAAATGAATATATGCGGAACATGTATGTCTCATTTTTATGTATATCACGATAACTGGTGCGTTATCAAATTATCTGTCGTCTTAGCACAAATAAAAATGCTGAAATGTTTGTGGAACTTAGCATACTACTCATTTTGTGCATTTCAATACTCACATATACCGGACCACATATATGAAAGCAAGGGAGTGAGTATTCTCTGAGAAGCTGTCATTTGCCGGATGATTACTGCAGTGATCAGGTGATGGTAAAAACAGTTGAATGACCATCTAAATCTCCTCGAAAAATGTCGGTGGCCCAATGAGAATGTTAACAAATGAAAGCAAAGGTAGATACATGAAAGACATTCAGAGGTGATTGTTTGCTGCTCTCGTTCTTCGTAACTGAGGTAGCAACAATTCCTGTCGAGTGTCCTTAATTGTCTGAAAGGCTCAGTGGTAACGACGGTGGGCTAGGACGTCAAAATGGACCTCTTGATGACAAGTGCTGACAAGCACCCAACGTGGATAAAGCAAGTACCCTGTCGATTGCCTCCAAAGCGCAGTGCAGTGGTTGATCTTCAATCCTGTAAGCATTTTGCATAGAATTCGGTCAACCCTCAGGAGTAGACAAAACAGAAACTGGTCACTCTCCAGTGACCAATCACAGCTACCCTTTGGATTACACGCATAATGAAGTTTCTCTGAGTTTATTAACTAACTAACTAGTTTTGATTTGAGTAGAATTTAAGTCAGAGCTGTTTGTTCGTCAAAATCGAACGGTTCATACTGACTGACTGTTTAAAAGAATTCAATCAACTACAAGAAGTGTCAACAGGCTGTGTACAGCTTCCTAACGGTTCTCAAGATATGCAAACAATTCCTTACAGAATTACTCAAATAATGTCATATAATACAGCAGGGAAGTATTTAAACCTTTGATTAATGAGTAGAATTCGTTCAGATTTACATTGTCAAGTGTAGACACAAGTGAGTAAGCCAGTTAGTTGTTGTATAGACCATTGCGCACTAATTAAAAAATATTCGAAGGTTGGTGTGTATGGCTATGCATTTCTTAAATTGTTCAGCAATTTGCTTCATTACAGAATGGTAATTGAACTACCGTTCACGTCATCTAATTTCTCTGTTGACAGTGTGCCTACAAACACAGGAGAAGTAAGTTAGATGATGTTACTGTCTTGCATTATACAGCTTTCGTAGTCTACACAGAGATGCTAATCCAAGTACGTTAGCTGTGCCTACTTAAATTACACATTTCCCTTTGACTCTACTCCTAAACCACTCTTGTTAAATAAGCTTGCCATTTCTGACACTGAGCTATAGATTACAAAGTGGCCCTACTCCTATTTTCCTGAAAGGAATCTCGATTGTGTTTACAAAGGGAAAAGCTCCACTTCATCGCTTACTGAAATCAGTGTGTTTCAAGATGCAGTACCTTTTGTGTTTATGTTTTCTCTACCTTTTCATGACTTAGTTCATTCTGCTCGACTTGATTTCATCTAGTATGCTGATGACCTAGTGCTTTCTGAATCAGTTAACTCTCACTTAGATTACTTTGAATTAAAAAGTTTCCTGTCTGAAATTGACCAGTTGTCTTTCTTAGATGGACTTCACCTACATACTTCTAAATGGTGGACTGTTAACCTTAGCTTCGGGCGTAAGAAGACTTGTTTGAACTGCTTAGCTTCCATGACTGCCGTTGTATTGCAGTACTGGTGTAGAAAGTAAATTGAGTGTTAGCTATCTTGGACTGAGTTTTATTTCTGATGTTTATTGACAGACTCATTTTGTTGAATTCGAAGGAAATCTTTCGTTTAGCGCAAGTAAGCAAGCTGAGACCGTGTGGTGTAACTCAAACTTTAATTTTACAGTTTAGTAATGTCTGTGTTTGCCTATTCTTCTTTGTTATTTCCGGTTATTGTTTTTGGATAGGCTAAGAAAGGACCCCGTTATGTTGCGTAGGGCTTTGAAAGCTGTCAATCAATAGTGCAAGTGTTGTGCCTCTGACTCAACTGATTAACACAGACAGACATTTTAATTCTAGCGGCAACCGGCTACATTCGTCTTATCTGATACTAGGTATCCAGTTTATTCAAAACTCTCCGTTTGTATCTCCTCAGGGAGGACAAGAAGGAATTACATTAGATTGTACGCTTGTTAAGCTGAATACAAGAATTCGTCTGGGCCTACCTAGGCTACGTCTTATGTGAGGAAAAATGTGTTACGACTCAGAACTCAGTTTGCAACTTTTCGACAGTAACAATCAGTCTTTTCAATATTCCAACCATTAGTGTAGAATTTTTCATCGTTACTAATATTATTTACACAATTTCAACAGCTGTATTTAACAGTATTTGAAATATTGTGAGGGACTGTCTGTATATTTAACATTATACTGAGAATTATTCATATTATTGTGTTTAACCTTGTTGTTTCTTCCATAAACAGCGCAACGTGATCCTATTTCTGGAGAGGAAATTTCGGTAATCGTGAATGGGACCCCATTGGTAGATACAATCGGAAAACTAGAAGAGCCAAAAGTTCAACTGGTAAACATTTAGTTTTTTCAATGAATAATCCAGTTATGTGAAACACTTTTTAAATGATGTCATGAATGCTGGGAAGTAGAACGCTCTTCTGAACAACTTTGGTGTCAGAGTTTCAGGCGATAAACTTAGACACGTAAAGGGGGATAAAAGAATATCCTTCGAAACTATATACAGTTATATCACATTTCTTAGCCATTCAAAACCTTATAAACGTGCCACTTTAATAGTCTCACCGTTGAGATTACGACTTTCAACAAACTACTGTTTTCTTTGGCAGATATTACTCCGTTGAGGGAGATCTTGTTGGCTTGGAAGAAACAGGTTAGGAAACCTCTTGATTTCTGATAGGTGTTATAGTTTTGCAGTATTTGTCCGATATTAACTTTATTTCTGTAGCTGAGGGTAGTTGGGTTGAGTTGAATTATGATTGAAAACCGTATGCGTTACGTATGTTTTGAGGCGGAATGTCACAGTATGAGTATTCCTTGTATGGGACTCCTTATCAATATGAACCCATGACTCTACCAGGGATCTAACCCAGCACCATCGGGTCTTGCGGCGCACTCCTTGCCATTCAGCATTCCTCCAAATGATGTGTGTAGAAAACTGTGAATCATTGGATTTTGACCTAGTGGCCCAATGATAATCTGCTCGCTGGTGGGTTTGTGGGTGAACACTGCTGGGGTTTTCCCTACTGGAACGAAACGACCATCCATCCCCCCTAGGTTTTGTATAGTTCCCTAACTGACATTAATCCGTTATGAATAACACACTTAAATCACTGAACTGAATGTTGACAGTTTTCTCTCACCAAGGATACAACAAACGCAAGTAAAATCAACAATGTTCGTTGTTCAGAGGACGATTTTACTGTACTGAGCTCTGTTTTGTCCTGTTATACTTCTGTAAGACATGGCCATTCAAAGAGGAGATATGAAACGGTTACGAATTTTTAAATCGGAGGTGTCTTTGCTACATTGCTCACGTATGAAGGAATCATACTAAGAGCAATGTACAGGTAAGGCGAAGAGTAATAGACAAGAAAGGCAAGAGGTTGTGAACCATTTTCGACTGGGTGGCTTCGACATGTTTTGGATATGCCGACCCACCGCCTAACCTGACCTGCAGTGTTAGACTAAATTGGATTTGGCTGACAGAGAAGGGTTCATAGTGGTCACACTAAGAAGTGGTACATGATCAGTGAATCCTCAGACTGTTGTTTTGGCCCGTGTAGGAATGTGTAGACTACTTGACTGGAGTAGCCAAAACAATAGGAATCAGTGGTTAAAAACTCTTAGTGACTTGCTGGAAATTGGTCAAAGTGGCGCAAATGTATTCACTTTTTGAAGTCTTCTAAAACTTGAACATTAGCAATTGAAGCGATCAGCTGTTGTATGATGTTCTGCGTTGATCCTGTCTCTGTTTCCATTGTTCAGCGTAGTTAAAATTTGCATGAATAATGACTTTTAGGTGAGAAATTGTTTGTACGTTCACAGACTTTATATTCTCTACCAACCAGCAGCATTCACTTCTCGAACACCGTGACACATTTCTGACTGTTCCAATTGATTCCCTCTGCAATTTCTAGATAGATTCAAAATGGATGCATATCCACTATCAATAGGCTAGTGCGAATACTGAGTGTTTCATTAACTGTCTATTGAACACTGAAAGGTTGATGTTCAGACTCTTGACCTGGACAAGTTAAGGCCACTTGTATCAATAAGACTTATTTCAGGTCTCATAGTTTGGCTACGGTGAAATTCTAGTGTTTAAAAGGAAGGGAGTAAAAATGCTAATTCAGTCAGGCAAGATTACTTACAGTTGTAGTTTTATTTTTGCACCAAATTCCAATTCCTTGAACGGTTTCAAGGTTGTTGTTTTCCAGTCTATCAAAGGTGTGCCAATTTGATTTGCATATATGCATTTATTTCAGCTGAACTTCTGGTGTATGCAGTTGAAAGGATGAGAAAAAAAGGTCAATTTTATCCACAAGACCATCTGTAAAGAGTTTATAAACAGTTATGGAAGGTGAACTTAACTGATCATAATTAGGGCTGGAAATGAGAATGGAGTATATACATAAGTTAATTTTGACCCCCATAGTGGTGAACGCTCTAATTTCCTTAGGTTATTTTCAGTGTTACTTGATTAGATGTAATTGACAGAGTGATCTGATTGACCTGAGTTTCGGGCTTGTTTGCACTCATCACCCATGTGCGCACTGATCTTGTATGCAAGAATAAAACCCGTGTCAATCACTGTAATAATTGAAAAGTATGATATATGAGAACAACCACTTTTGTGCGATGAGAAGTATTCGTAAAAGAGATTTGAATGCGATTGGTTTTTTATCTCACATTGCTTACACTTAAATAGATAAGGCTGAAATCTCAGCCTGCTATTAATCATGGAGTTAAGTAATTTGGAGAACTATTGGAAATCGAGAGGAAGTAGGCAGCTGTTTCGCTCCACGGAGCGCTCCTCAGCAGTGTGCACCCATCCAGGCAGGGGTCAAACCTAGAGTAGTGAAACTGTTAACCAAGAAATGTGGTTCATTTGGGTTCAGTTTCTATAAACGTTATTCACTCTGCCTATTCTTTCAAAGTAATATGTTGTTTAATCGTATTTTGCTTCTCCTCAGTTCGTAAAGTGATTCTTTCACACTAGGAAACCTTATTCCAAAGACTTAAATCTCCACTCAAGTCTCGAAATTTAACAAAACACTTAAAATACTAAGATTTACATTTTCTGATAGTAGTGATCGTTTGAATTTCGGCAGCGAATGGAAAGGAAAACCTACTTCAGTGATAAAAAATACTTTTTGGAACTTAAATTCTTTGTGTGAAGCTTCAGTCAGAGGTATCACTTCTTTGTTGTCACTGTAGGATATAATATTTTGGATAAGCTATGCAAATTATTTGGTAACCATTGTCTTGTGATATAACGCTCAGAGTTAATCATACCAGGCTGTATGAAGTTTGCCATCCTCCGGTAACCAGTGAATCTTCTTAGTCATTTCCTCAATAGGTCAGTCGCGACCAGAGTGGCTCATCCGTAATGTCGCTGGCTATAACACTAGGTGACAGGAGTTGGAAACTCAGAGGGGACGTGAACTACCTCGAGGTTGCAGATACATCTTTATGACAAGTACCAACAAGTACGGAACCTAGGTCAAACCAGGCTTCCTTTCGGTTGCCTTCGACCAACTAGCACCAGTCAGGTTTACACCGATTCTGAGCTTGATGATCACACAACAAAGGGGTCAAAAGAAAAACTGGATAATTCGCACAAATAACGTTCCTATTGACTTCCTGACTAATCCTAACCAGTCAGCGTGCTGGGAGTTTCATCAGGCCAACCTAAAGTGAAATGTGGATCTCAGATATATCCTAATTATGCCAACTACCCAATGTAGTTCATTTTCTGATACTTTTGTTTAAAAGCTTTTCTAGAAAATGGAAAGTGTTGACAACAGTAATCAGAGACTTGATTACCTTGTGATAATATGAATTCAAAGATCCTTATTTTACACAATAAGTCTATCAACATGTGGAGACTACACTCACATTTGTATAGCTCTCTTAACAATTATTCTTTTGGGATTTAATGCCTTCATTATTTTTTTGCGATTCTTTTACTGTGAAACGTTATTTAAATACAGTGCCTACTTAATAAATACTAAGTAGCATAAAGGTAAATGAAAAAAGTTGCCACACGATTTTTTTTCGAATGCTTTTTTAAATATGTAACTTGATAGGAATCCGAACCAACCCTTTGACCGGGGAAAATCTTAAAACCTTTACTGTAATGGCAGAAGAAAGATGTTCAAATAAAGAGAATGGTCTGTGCAAACGGAATGGTAAGTATTTATATTTCAGTTTGTTGTCAGTTTCACAATCAGGTCAAGTGTCACAGTTTCCCACTCCCAAATGATTTATAAATCGAAATATTTGAGAGAAGGTAACTGCAGTTTAGAAGATGAAATCTGCAGAATACTGAGTGTCACTCATTTATAGGTGTGTTTTAATCTACTAAAGGTCTTGTTGAAAATGGTGATCAGTCTGTAAAATCTGTCACTAGCAGTTAAGGTTACCAAGTGGTGAGGCATGATAATAATAATAATTTAAAATAATTAATCCCTTTCATGAGTTTGGATAATAATAATAGTTTGCTTTTCTTGTATATATTGATTTGTCGACGATAGGATGGATTCATAAAATGATCTGTCTGCAGAAAACCTACATTGACAGTGCAATATTTGAACTCTCTCAGCTTTTGTCCAGTTCAGTACAAGTCAGCGTTAGTTAGGTACATATTCAATAGACGTCAGCGGATATACAGAGATGACACTTTGAAAGATGAGAGAAGAACACTGACCGAAATACTGTTGGAAAATAACTATTCATCAGAATTTATTGGACAGTTCGAAGAAACTATAGCGCCAAAACTAGCTCTTCACTTTGTCGTAAAAAATGTCTTCTTCAGTTCTCTATACAACGGTGAATCTCATAGCGCACTCCTTAAGCAGAGACTTAACGTTGCTGTTAGAAGGACTTACTGTGCAGCTAGGGTTCGATTATTATGGACCATGAAGTCTGCATATTCTCTCACGCCCTTACAGCATGTGAACAACAATATCACCATCCTACGGTATCCACCAATTCAAATGTACATATGGTGACACATACATAATGAGGAATCATAGATCCATGCAAGTGAGGGCCTCAGAGCATTTTCTAAAGTAGTTTTAGAGGTAAACTGAATCAAATGAATCTATAAACGCTGGTAGCATACGCTCAAGTTCTTTTATCATGATACATATCGTTGAAAAATGTCACAAGATTGATTTGGCTACTTCCTTTGCGGCTATTTACAAAATGCAGTGGGGATGGGTCCTTAAATTTTCGAGGCCTCAGCTATTTGAAAGTGTAAGCAACCTTTGTGTGTTCAAGAGCAATTTATCATCACGTTAAACCTCTCTTGGTCAGTACAGCTCTGCAGTCAATTTCGATATACTATTATTTCTACCCTATTGATTTTCTACCATTTTGACCGCCTGAGATAGCCGTCGTCTGGCAGACTTACATTATGCACACTGGGTGATGATTGAAGGTGAAATGAAAGTTTGGAAAATCCAGCTGAGGTTCAAATTTTCCTTCCTCTTCAGTCACCACCCAGTATCGTAATTGGTTTTCATTGTTTCTTGACTTTTAATTCAAACTTCCTACTAGGCTTCCTTTCACATGCTCACGAATTTACATATAAATATCTACGACAAGCATATGTGTGATCAGGTTGTTCGAAATGTGCTGTACAATTACATCATAACGTTCAGACAATTTACCTCTTATTGTTTTGTCAAGTTTATAAAGGGAACTGATTGTTTGAAACAATAATCACAATAATGATCATAATAATAGGAATAATAATAATTACGATAAAAAGGTACACATGCATACATACATAATGAGCGTCGCCTCAAAAATCATACTAGTCTATTATCTTAAATCTGGTTTTGTCATTACTGGCGAAGAATCATTGATGGGATGTAGATAATCTGAGCACACTGTACAAAGGAGTATAATTAAGTGCCTCGCATTCAAAATAAGATAGATTTTACCTAAGGGGTGTATGGAAAAAAGTTATCGTATATCCGTGACATTCTAAGTAAAACTGGATACCTGGAAAAGTTTATCAAAGCTACTATCGATTATGTTGGTCCTAAGTGAGAATTAATGACAGTGAAGAAGTTTTCATTTTCACGACTACAATTCAAGAGAGATACTTTAGATGACATCCCACCTCAACGCCAAGCTAGAGGTAGAGTTAGTGGAACATTTTTTATAGGTTTCCTTTGCAAATGCTACAGTAATTGACCAATGCTAACCAAGTCTGAGACTAATGGTCACCCTGCATAATCTTAGTTCCCATTCTTTCATACATCAGTTTAACTGTTCTTGTTGAGAAAGTTACTGATAGTGTGTGATCAAGCAGATGTATCTTCAGATACCAGAACATTTACTGGCATGTTTTGGAGGAAGGGAAACGAAAGTGGTAGCAAATTCTGTCACAATACACCCAATAAACAAAGAGCATCACATAAATGTTAATAGCGCTGTTGATATCGTACACTGTGTGCCAAAAATAATACCACGCGTAGTTTGCCAACATCAGCTCAACATAGCTCAGGCTGTCGGAATAGACTGATCACACCTGAACTATGTAATCAGTAAGATTGTGTTCAAACTTTATTCTTCACTTGGCCATCAGTAAACCAAAGACCACTCCTGTCTTCTCTGTTTGTTTTCTTTTCGTCAACCATCACATTCTTCACGTGTACATATGTCATCTCAGTGTTGACAAATTTAAAGTGAAAATCGACTTGCCATAGTCTCTAACTCGCATTCCATCCTGGAAATGTATTCAGCTCAAACTTGGTCTGTTTTGACGGCATGGATTTGCATTTTACAATCATAGAACCTTATGAAAACTTTTCGAAAAGAATATTCTTTGCTCACATTATTTCTCATGAATCATATATTAAGGATTGACTAATTAAGTCCATGAAGCGAAATCAGAATTATCTTTATGTCACTCAAAAGATTCTACCAAATTGTGATGCTTTTTAACAAGATGATTAACGTAGAAGTCCATACAATTAATATGCTGATACTGCTGAAGTATTATGGTAAAACCAGGGTACTTCTCATTCAACCATTCCTGGTCAACTGTATTTCAAAAAGAATAAAGATAGCTGGGTATTGAAATTACAAACATGGTGTTATCTACTGAGCAGCAATTACTTTATGCACGCAACACTTATTGATATAAAAGATTAATCATGCTAAAAGTTAACAAAAGACAATTCAGCGAAGAAAAATTTATTCACAACGAACCATTTTCAAAAGCTGTACAGTAGTTAACAGACCAACACAAAGTCATCGGGAACAGTCAATAAAGTCTTGAAGGTCAACTCAGGGTCATCAAAGTTGCTTATAAGAAAGCAATAAATAAACAAATGATAAACGAAGAAATGAGTAAAATGTTCTGGGAGATTACGACCAAGTTAAAATTAGAGATTGAATGCATCTCTTTTGAGTAAAAAGATCAGGCTTGAACTGCCGAATCACCAAAACTTCTGCTGTGTTCCGATAGGGAATCCTCAATCCCTTTAAAATACTTAACTTGACTTTATGAATAACTTTGTAGGAGATTCTGGTGGAGCACAGTAAAGCAGAGTTAACTGGATTCGAGCTGTTGATTGCTTTGCAGTCTCTTTTTGACAGCGGCGATATGTGAGCATGGAACATGCTATGTGCTGCCTATGTAACCAGCTCCACAAGAGCAGGTTAATTGATAAACACACATATTTGTGGCCCAAATTGATAGTTTATCATTTACACACTACGGAATCAGTTGTCGACTCGAGAAAAAAAATCCAAAGTTTAGTGAACTATTTCTACCACCGATTCGTGCTAGAGTTGGGTGCGATTTCAAGAAAAATGCAAGACAAGCTAAAGTACTTATTAATTCAACACTTATGTGCGTGGATGTTTTCGTCAAACTACCTTATGAATGTCTACGAGAATATGCCACTGCCTAAGTAGATTTACAGTCCTCATCGATTCAGGATTGGTAGCTTTACAGTTCATTTACTAAGCAAATTTTCAGATGCTAACTAACTTAAAATCTTATAAAAAACGCTCGTATGGTGTTAGATGTATGAAGTCAGCTAGCTCACCCTGATTTCATGAAGTCACCGAGTTGATAAACTCATATTCATAAATCAAGTTTTCATTTTTATTTGCCACGCTGGGTGACTAATTAATCACTTGGGTCTCAAGGCTAAGTTGGGGGGGGGAGTGAACTGGTAGTTCACAAGTGGCTGATGAGACTGCTGCTGTGGCTCAGGTTTCCACGCCATCTTCAATCATCACCCGGTATGTTAGCAACAGATTTTCGAGAAGAAACTATAACAAAAACATTGCTTCACTACTTTTCATTCTCTTTTTCGTTTTAAAGTTTCTACAAAGAATATATTTACTGGAGAGAATTGTGAAAACTATACAGTATCTCCTGAATTGAAGTCTCCTACAAAACGTGTCCAACGAGGTAGGCAAATGACTATAATTAATTCTTCCGTATTATTTTTGTGTTTGCTATGTGCCTACTTACAAGTACTTCAAAGTTGATAGAATAAACGTTTTCAATAAAATCAAATTATTTACTCACAATTTCGGATAGATTTATTGAGTTCAAAGGATTACTTCCAGACGAATGTATTTCTTGACCTGATCCAGTCTAACAACGGAGAATAACAAGTATCAATAGATAGTAATGGACATTTCACAACCAGATTATTTTGCTCAATAGGGTCTATCAGATCATGAAACAGACAAAGCTTATCTCTGAGTGAGTTTGAAGGTTTAAATGCCACCCCAATTCCAGCCTTGTTGAGAATCCTATGTAAAGTTTCTGGTGTGCTTTCCTTATAGGGCAACACAATGGAGGCTTTGAAGTCCTTTCTACTCGTGTTGTCGTTATTATTCGTACTCGTGTTACTGTCATTATTTTGTTTCACATTGGTTTTGATGAATTTCTGTCGTTAATTTTTAACGTTTCTTTAATTAAGTCCTTGCACTAGCTAGTGAATTTCCTGGCTCCGTTATTTAAAAATATGACTAAATCCACTTTAACTGACATTGGATGAGATGACTTGAAATCGAGATAACTGTTAGAATGTGTCGGTTTTCTGAAGACAGTAGTATCAAAACCACCAACTGTCCTTCGTTTTTTTCAGCAATTCAACATAGCTAATTCTCGTTTTTCATTTTACACCTCGTAAGTGAATTGGAATGCACTCACTACTGGGTTTATATGTGTGAGTATATTGTCTATATGTTCCGATTTCAACAGAGTAAATGTGTCATCCACGTGTCGCCACTAAATCCAAGGTGTACGATTAAATCTTCGTAAACCGTATTTTCCCTACTGTTAATAATTATATCTGCTACGACTGAGGACACTGGTGAGTCCATTGCTTCTCCTCCTGTTGGTCTATATATTTTATGCTGAAACTTGAAGACTGTGGATGTCAGGGACAAATTATGTCCAATATGATTTCATTATCCGATATCTTAGTTCTATTTGTAATTTTTAGGTCAATATTTAGTTGATTTCTGGTTGCCTTCAGTGCAATATTGATTGGTATTTCAGTATAAAGACTTGTTACATCGTAGCTAACCATTTTTTACTATTTTCCATATGTGCAAGTCACTAAGTTTTTGTTTTAATTCGTAGATAATGACTAATCTAGAATTTGAACGGTTACTAGTACAACATAATATTGGTGATGAAGGTCTTGGTGGTTCGTATCTTGAGGTATTTCTGAAATCGACTACTGATCTAATGAGATAACCTGGTTCATGAACTCTGATCGTACCGTAAATCCATCAGGGTTATTAATTTAAACCATTTGGACTCTCTTGGTGAGCTTTCTTGACCGGTTGACAACGCTTTGTGCAAACCACTTGCTTACTTGGTAACACGGTCAAATCCCATAGAATAGTCATGTTCGCTAGTTTTCCGGCTTGTTTTTTCCGAGCTTCAGGAGAAATTTTAAGCTGCCTATTCAAACAGTATTCTTTTCCACTTTCTGCCCTTCTCTGTAAGTGCTGAAGTTGTTGGTGGTTGATCATTATTGTTATCGTTGCCAAATGCTTGATAAGGCGTAGCAAGACCGAAGATGCCTGAAGAGTGTTAAATGAAAGCAGATAAATGTCCTGAACAGCCAAGCCTATCGTACAAACAATATTATGAAGAAGGAATTTAACATAAGAACCGGAATCGAATTCCAGCTATGCTTTTTAAGTAGTGCTTTCTTTCTCCTGGAATTTCTCAAAAATATACAAACTATGAGTTTAATTAGGGGTGAAAATCACACAGAATATTTCATGCATGGGAACATTACATATAACACATGGCAACATACAAACATAGATAAACATATTCAACTCACATTAACCTACCATTTATTGGTGAACGAAAATAGTCTGAGACAGTGAAGTGTACTATTCAGCCAGGGTCAGCTCAACAAAGAAGACAAGATGTGTACGGAGGTGAAATGAACCGGAGACATCAGAATTAAACAGGAGCACCTAGACTCAAGATGTACCCTAAGTGAAACTTGCTGGTAATACGTATCTGTAACTTAAGTTAGACATATTACGCTGAGTTCTGCTTGCTATGATTGACCTCCTATCTGGCGGCATCTAAGATACTTACCAGTCACAGCTGAGTTCTACAGTTTCCAGTGGATAGCGTTTCACCTGCAAGATATCCAGTAGCGTCAACCATGTTGTTGAGTCACTAAGTCTGAAGGTTGCATAGCATAACAATGGTAAGTTGCTGCAGGCTAACGGTTTAAAAGTTTCCATAAACACAAGATTTGTGTTGAGAATTCTAGATTTAAAAACGAAAATACTGCCATTAGTTATGACTGACGGAAGTATTCATAACTATCACAAGTCGAAAGGTTTCGCAAAGTCTACTGTCAGTTTTGACGGTGTCGTCTGTCAAGTTAATTTACGACTGGCTACACAGCTGACAGTTTAGTTTTCAACTACCTATTTAGAAATCATAAATTCCAGGTATGCATCAGTAAGTCAGCTTTGTGGATTTCTGACTGAAAGTTTCTCTAAAAATCAGCATAATACCAAAAGCTATTCAACTTTCTGAAGGAATAACGCCGAAACTACTCAAATCAGGAGACGCAGTGTGAGAGGTGTGGAAGTGTATTTTTTGACCAAGAGATTTGAAGGCAAATTCCCCTTCTTTGTCTCTTATTGTAACAGCATTCAACAATAGTGCTGAAGCAGTACATTCTAGGCAAGAAAAGTATAATTTACTGAATATCATAGAATTCTATGTGTTGAACTTCGCATTCTTTCAGAATGGTTATGTTAAGCTCTGATTGCATTCATGCTGCCGCAACCGAAACTAATAAAATTTACATAAGATTGTTCTTTGTCAACCGTCCTTTATTCATAGATTATCGTAGCACCAAAAGTATTTTTCCAATGTAAGAGATCCTTCCAGTAGCTTGTAATTGTGAGTCTCCACTTACGTGGCTGTTCATTGTTCCATCGGTGAAGAATTAATTCATGAGAAGCCAAAATCAATGGTGCAAACCAGTTCACACGTGAATACACTTACTCGGCGATGACACTGGATGGATGGATCGTTGGATTCCGACCCACCAGTTTCGTGGTAACGTGTCGACTGTGGAGCCTAAAGGCTCTGAGTTCGATCTCTGGTTCAGTCATCGGTACGCACTGCTTAAGAGCCTCATATTAGGACCAAACGACTGTCCAGTGTCACCAGATTTCCAATGGTTCACTAAATCATTTCAGCACCGGATAAATGCAAACCTGAAATGAATAAACAACTCCCAGTAAGTTAATTTCTAACTGTTTATCACAAGCACTCTCTCTGTCTCTATTTGCCTGTAGAACCTACACGTAATACAATAACTGGAGAAAATTGTTCAACCTACGATTATAATTCTGAGGTTAGAATTTCGAAAAAACGCACACAAGTCAAGAGTTCAAATCCACTAAATGGTGAAAATGTTAGCGCCTTTATGGTATCGCAAGAGGAAAGACCACGTACTGCCAAGCCTTACGGTAAGATACTTCAGTAAAATACAAAAAACACTAAATTTTTGTAATTGTTCAGTGGCTGGGTGTTCACTATTGTCTACTGCTTTGTAAAGGATTATTTGATACTTCCCAAACTCTCTCTGTGTGACTCTTGAGTTTACTGCAGCAAATGATCCTGAAAATGCAGTACTGAGTAGTCACAAAAGTTTTGTGAAGAATAAAATTGTAGGTAGTACAGCTCAAAGCACAGAAGAAATTTCCTTTACCGAAAACAATTTCAGTAAATAGCAATAACGAAGGCAGGGAACACTCTGATCGACTATATCTGTAATATGCGTCCAATCTAAGGCTGAACAACAATGAGGGAATGGTCTTGATTAAATTGTTAGTGCTACGTCTTAGCACTTTAGGAAGTATATGTTGTTAGTTGGTTCGAGATAACTGGCAGGAAGCCCTGCTCAACCTAGATTTCCTGCTTTTTGGTAGTCGTCAGCAAGGTGTGTCTGCAATCACAAAGGAATTGATGTTTACTATGAGATTTGAACCCACATCAACCGGATGTGTTAGTCAGTGACGTTACCACTGGACTATTTGACTCATGCCTGACTTTCCGTAGAACTAGGACAGAAATACCGACTAGTCGATAGAGAACAACCAGTTCCATGTTGTCATAAGTGCTGATAGGACTCGATCAATCATTTTGCATTATGGTCACCAAGCTAGGAGGCTCACTACTGTAGTGCACTTCGATGAGTGCCAACTGTTAGAAGTCAGTTGGTAGAAAGCTGTGAAGCTATATTTCGTGTCTATTGACACTCATCAGCCGCATCTTTTGTTAACCAGATAGCACTTGTTTGAGATATCTTAAAGAATATTGTCTAATAATTATGGAGGTGATATTAAGAGGTAGTGAGGAGAGGTTTTGGTGCTTGAAATGACGTTCTTTCCATTCAGGATAACCGGAAACAACCTATTATTCTGGGCTTCTAACTAGTTAACATAATGTAGAACTTGGTCAGATGATTCATCTTCAAAACCTGTTTTTCTGTATACACCACAGAAATAGAATAAATTTCTAGATGAAAAGCCGAGCTGCTCCTGACTATGTGAACGTCAAATATATTACTGAACAGAAGAGGAGAGTCACTTCACAGTAGCGCAATTTCGGTAATCTACTCACAAAAGGAAACTATTGAAGAAAGTGGACTTAAGAATATGTAAAAGCTGCTGAGCCTGCCAATGAGTAATTTTTCCCTTCAGGAATTATCTTTGTGGTTAACGGTGTTTTCAGGTATCGAGTTAGCAAAATTATGTCAATTTCAACGAGTTCGTGCAAGTGAACTGCGTTTTCATGGCTTTATATATTGTGATTTACTGTCTGGTGGCTAATGTTACTGTATTTGAGCTCAGTCTCATTATTCGTTAAACAACAAGGTTCAGATATCTTGCATATTTCAGCTAAGCCATAAAGACTCGTCACTGAAAGGTGGTAACTGGACATGCCTTAAAGTTATTTATTCCCATTTGAGTGGTTTAGAAAAGATTGCACCATCTTTTCATCAATTAGCGACCACTTATAAGTAATCCGTACGTCTACACTTGGTTAAAAACATGTATGGTTTTTGGTTAACCTCCACTCAACAGCTTAATAACTTAGTCATGTACCATTTGGATTATAAAACTGAACTGAGGTCTCGTTATCCCTTTTTTCAATGTGCCTGCTATGACGACCCACTATTTCATTGTTCATTTCTCTTTGTCATCTTTCTCTTATTTCAGTTTACAAGAATACAGTCACTGGTGAGAATCTTCAAAGTTATAAATTACACCGATTGAAAGGAACGTTACTCCGAGGGTAGTAAAAGGTATATATTATCAAAAAGCATAATTTTATCTAACCCATGAGATTGTCTTGGCTAGTGTAAAGTATAGTGATCATGTGTCTGAATAGTTTCAGCGTCAATTCCGTCGTTGAACGAGTAACCGGTGGATGGAAACTGCTGTCAGGGTCTGAAATGGCTTGAATATGTGTTGCGAAAGGCTACGGGGGAGTTCGATCAGGTAAGAAGAATACTCACAGTCGACAGACTAAGATGTGGTACCAGTCGGTGAAGTTTCTAACTGTTGGCCTGTGTCGTGTAAGGAGGTGTACACTACTTGGCTGGGGTCCTCTAGACGATAGGAATCCGTGACTGAGGACTATTGGTGAGATGCCTGGAAATAGTCACAGTAGCTCAGACGTATTCACTCTTTGATGTCTTTTAAGCTACGATGTTTTGATTAACCTTTATTTTAAAATTTATTCTCGTCCCCTGTACCTTTGTTTACTTTAATATTAGTCTTTTTCAGTCCACTTGTTCTTCGTATGATACGTATGATACCGATGCACACATTACTGTGCTAGGTACTACGTTGATTTTATCTGTCTTTCTATCTGCTCTCAGTGTTGGCCTAATTTCAGTAATTTTAAGTTAACATAGAACCCAGTTTCTCAATGCGATCGACAAAATAAGAAGCCATGGCGGTGTCAGAATGTTTATTTTACCAGTTCGAATTCATTTTCCAAACATCAGGCAATAGACTGCACCAAAGACTAAAGAAGGCCAGTGATTACTAGTAGCTAACCACTTTATATTCTCATTTGACTATCTGAGATAGCCGTAGTCCAGCAGATTAGTATTTATACCGGGTGATGGTTGAAGGTTAGAAGAAAATCTAGACCGCCGCCAGATTCGAACCCTCACAACCGAGTTCAAACTTTAGACAAGGTCAAAAATGTTTGGAAGGTCAAGAGATAGTTTTTCTGCTTGTCATGGTGAAATACAAAAGGTTTTATAAGTACTAGTTGCCGGTTAAAGTGGAACCAAGGTCATTCACCCTTTGAATAATATTATTGAACTTACTTCACTATTCCGCTTAACTAAAAGGCATGTGTCAGATCTAAATAGGTTGACAGTGTAGACCAAAAGTGAATTTAATAAAACCAAACTAACTTCAAAAACATGAGTATTATTATAACATTACCACCGGATAAAGACTCAGGTGGTGTCGATGCACTGAGATTCATCCTTGAAAATTCCAAGAAATAAAAAACTTGTATAAACCAAGATCACAAGTTGATTTGATTTCATCAATTATCAGGCCTTATGTTTCACCAGGAACCCAAGGGACAAATAATAATAATAATGATAATAAATATGAAACAACCTTAACCGGGTTATCAAACAATGCTATCTATGAAAATTCCGGAGAAGCAGGTTACTTTTCCATAATTTTGTGACACTGTGGGAGGAAATCGCTTACTCACAGAATAAAGGTTATCAGTTATCACATGTTTAAGCAGTAAGCGGAACGAATCACACTAAAACGATCTCGAAAGCACACAGAACGTAAAAACGACATGTATCAGTGTCAATGACCATTAATTAGTGCTTTCAAGATGATGATGATGATATCAATTTTTAACAAAATGAGTGTGTGTATGAGGGGAAATACGTGAAAACAATTTCGCAAGCGATCCAGCTGTAGATTTTTTATGCGCTTCTGTGAATTCTTTATATTTTTAGCACATTTGACATGCTCTATTTGAATATTTGGTACGTGTTGGTGGGATTTTAAGATTTTCTTTCTTTTCAGAAACCACATTCAAATTTGACATATTTCGTAATGCCTTAGTTCCCCTAATTCCATATTAGATTTGTTTATTTGATATAAAGCGCACAGTGATACAGTATTATTTAATTGATTACGTTTCGAGCATAAATTATTACTGCTCATAATCATCACATCAATGTAATCACACACAAGTTTCGATATCTGATTTTATAGTCCTGTCACCTGATCTCTCTTTGTTTTTTGTTTTTTGATTGGTAGTAAAGTTTTCCATATCTCTGGTATAGGTGTTGCGTCATTCCTATTCCACATGTGTTGGGTGTGGATTCGATGAAGAAAGATTCAGTAATTAATCTCTCTCTCTCTGTCCACCTAGCTATATTAGACTTAAGTACAGTGGTTTTGTCCCCCCATCCTATTGTGTGGTTGTGTGTTAATGAATGAATGTAATGCAATGGCCGAGTGTTTTTCTACGTTATTGATCTTATTGGGGTCTGCCGTTCTATGTTTAGCTAAATTCCTATGTTCTGTTAATCTAACTGACCCCGACCGGCTAGTTTGACTGACCTATGTATTTGACTTCACAGTCATTACATGGAATTTGGTAGATTATATTATTTTGCTTAATTGGTTCTATCGGATCTTTTAGCCGACAGAGCTTACCTCTGAGTGAGTTTGTTGGTTTAAATGCCACCCTAATTCCAACCTTGTTGAGAATCCTACGTATGCTTTCTGATGTTCCTTCCTTGTATGGTATCACAATAGAGGTGTTGATTTCCTTTCTACTTATGTTGTCACTATTATTTGTATTTGTATTAGTGTTAATGTAAATGTAAACATTTTATCATTGCCTTTTTCTAACAGCCAGTCGAATATATAAATTGAAGCAGACAATACAACATATCGGAACAAGTTACCTACCATATTTGAACAACGTATACCAAAATAAAAGGCAACATAATTAGAAGTAGGGGAATATGATCAAAAATTGTAAGAGGCGACAAGAGAGTAAGACAAAGATGAAAATTCGATAGAACGATGAGAATGCAAGTAGTATAACCAATGAAATGAATCTATGCCATATTTCATAGAATTTCGAGCCACCGATTTCATTTGTTACTTAACATGAAGTAAACCCACAACAATGTTATCACGCAAGCTCTCTCAAATCATCATCAATCTTTCATATCTTTGTCTACTGACTTTCCTTTATATTTATTTCTCTATCCATATTATATAGTCGTAGCTAATTTTCTTCAAATTTTCAACCTTCAATGACGATTTGAGTTGAAGGAATAGAATCCCTGGTACCTTGGAACACCACTGTGAACAACATACTGCAGCTTTCAATGTCTACACTCTCAGTCGAATTGAACAGAAGGAGTAGCAATGGGATCACCAATATCCCCTATAGTAGCAGATATATTTATGGATAGTTGGGAAGATATGGCTTTACGAACATATAATCCGACACCTAAGATATGGTGGCGATATGTAGATGACACATTTACAGTGTTGAAATCGGAACATATCGACAGTTTCTTGACACACATAAACTCAGTAGTTAACGCAATCCAATTCACTACGAAGTAGAAAATGAACAAGGAGAATTACCTATGTTGGATTGCAGAATAAAACGAAGGATAGATGGTGGTTTAGATACTACCGTCTACAGAAAACCAACACATTCTAACAGGTATCTAGACTTCAAGTCATCTCATCCAGTGTCAGTTAAAGCGGGTTTAGTCAAATGTCTAAATAACAGAGCTGAGAAACTCACTAGTCATTGTAAGGACTTAAATAAGGAATTGAAACACATAAAAGAAGCGTTAATAATAATAATTATCCCCATCATTTTATTAAGAAATTCACACGGACGCATAAGAAGCAAAATAATAACACTAATACAAATACAAATAATAGTGACAACATAAGTAGAAAGGAAATCAACACCTCTATTGTGATACCATACAAGGAAGGAACATCAGAAACCATACGTAGGATTCTCAACAAGGTTGGAATTAGGGTGGCATTTAAACCAACAAACTCACTTAGAGGTAAGCTTTGTCGGCTAAAAGATCCGATAGAACCAATTAAGCAAAATAATATAATCTACCAAATTCCATGTAATGACTGTGAAGTCAAATACATAGGTCAGTCAAACTAGCCGGTCGGGGTCAGTTAGATTAACAGAACATAGGAATTTAGCTAAACATAGAACGGCAGACCCCAATAAGATCAATAACCTAGAAAAACACTCGGCCATTGCATTACATTCATTCATTAACACACAACCACACAATAGGATGGGACAAAACCACTGTACTTAAGTCTAATATAGCTAGGTGGACAGAGAGAGAGAGATTAATTACTGAATCTTTCTTCATCGAATCCACACCCAACACATGTGGAATAGGAATGACGCAACACCTATACCAGAGATATGGAAAACTTTACTACCAATCAAAAAACAAAAAAACAAAGAGAGATCAGGTGACAGGACTATAAAATCAGATATCGAAACTTGTGTGTGATTACATTGATGTGATGATTATGAGCAGTAATAATTTATGCTCGAAACGTAATCAATTAAATAATACTGTATCACTGTGCGCTTTATATCAAATAAACAAATCTAATATGGAACTACATTCTACCACAGTGCCCAAGTTTTTCACTTATATTAGTTCCCCTAACTTTCATCGTAATCAGTAAGGCTTTTTTGAATAATTTTACTATCTAAAATGTCATTTTTGTGGCCGTGAAAGACGATATCAACCGCCAACCTTCCATCTCACTAGAATTTCTCGAAGATCATTTTGTATAAGTTGGATGCTTTACAGAATGAATGAATATTTCATGAGATAAACTTCCGATGTAATAGGCGTCAGCTGTTTCATGTTAACCTCGAAATTGATCAGTAGTAAGGTCACTGACTACAACACTGAACGATACGGCCTGGAATCTCAAAGGGGACATCAATTCTCTTGAGGTTGCAGATCCTCTTAGCTGATGAGTGCCAACATGCATTGTAAATTGTTCGATAGAATCCACTCACCATCCCGGGACTACACAATGTGGAATTGCTCGCTGTTCAGTGACCAACCAATGTGTCAGTGGCATTTTACCACCATCCTTCATTCTTCAGGTCCATCTTGGCAGTAGCTGTCATTACTCTATTGATTCTAAGGGGAGTAATCTAATTTTCCCGCCAAAATGTCTTAGTGATTTGCAATGTTCTGACCGATATTTCTTTGAAAGTCATTGGAATTTGGAACACTTTTTAGATTCTTCACCTCTGTTTGTCTATCTTCTCTATTGAGGATGGCTGAAAACTTTATCATCGGAAAAGACAGTCGTAAAAGTTCTCAAAGGGACTGACAACTAACTGTCTTATCACCCCGTCAACTATGATTTGACATCTAGACGGTCTTGTATGTCTTATATTGATGATGAATAAACAGAATGTTACCCTTAGAGTTATATTGTTATAGTTAACTCACTGCATCACAAGCTGGCTCACTTACTGACAAGAAATTTTCAAGTTGTTTGTCCAAGACTAATTACCAACAGTGAGCGATTTATCCGAGTCGGTTGAAGACGTCACATAAACGGTTCGAATAAGTTCATGGCTTACATTTAATGTAGCCTAGTTCTTTGCAAACACATAAAATTCAAAACACAAGATTAATGTCAATTACGATACTATATTAACTAGTAACTATCATGGCTTGTAAATGAAGACAACAGGTGTCCATGGGCTGTCAATGTGGAAAGCTTTTTATAAGAAGTCAGTGAATAAGGCAGACAACCTCACTGCTTCCAAGGCAAACCACGGTGGAAAATGTCAAAAACACGTGTATTCACAAGGTTAGGTAAACGGTATAAACGAAATTTAACTACTATGAATATGGATGAAGTGATATTTTGAAGGGCTATGAGATACCTTACTTGTCAAGATGAAACAGTATGAATTTAAAAGCGAAAAAAGAGTGCAAGGGCAGTAAGAATTCGAAATTAGAGTGAAGTGGGAAAAGAATTAACGCTTTCATCAAAAAAGCGATTGTTATTTTTTTTCAGTGACATATTGGTTGCATGCAACTGCTTACGTCGTGTCTCTTACTCACAGCAGTGGACTAAGGGCATTTAATTCACCGTTGGACAGGATAAATAGTGGTCACTTTAACTTCGGAGACGTTACTATCTAACGCAAAGAAGATCAATTCATCATATGTGTACTAGGGAATAAATGACACTTGAACTTTCGGAAGCTTTCTTTGAGATAGCTGAAGAGAAGCATCCGTTAAGATCCAATTTTGCAAAGCTGGAAGAATGAAAACAACAACTAGTCTGGAAAAGTATGGTCTAGTACGTGAAAATTTCTGACAGACATCCTTATCAATAAAAAGTTATCAAAATTTATCGATAGTATGAGGCTAATATACCCGTTAAGATCGCGGTAAACAAGATATGGAGGGGCTACAAGTCTTTGATTGAACATGTCTTCGTAGTATTGGTAGCGTATGGTGGAATCACCATGCGGGAAATATTGAGGTCAGACGAAGGGTCCTAGGGAAGAAGTCATTCAGTCAGCGAGGTTGCGAACCTTCATCGAGTAAGACGGCTTCGACATATAGTCCGCATGCTAATCCAATGCCTACCACGAAGTGCAACCTCGGGGGAAAATAGACTAGTTTGGAAGAGGGTTCAGGGTGGCCGGACTAAGATGTAGCACTAGTCCACGAAGTCACTAGCTGTTGGTTTAAGCAGTTTGGGGAGGTGTAGACTACCTGATTGGGCTGCATGAGACTATTAGAATCAGCGGTTAGAGATTCTTGGTGACATGGTTAAAAATCTGTTACTATACAGCAGGTGTATTCACTCTTTTACATCTTCCAAGGCTGGAATGTTTTGACTAATCTTCATCCTTAAAATTTCTCTTCACGCCTACACCTTTTGTCTATTTTGATACGAGTCTTTTTCTGTTCGTTTGTTTTTGTATAGTATTGTGTAGTGTGACAATTTTGAACCGATGCACTTCTGTATGTAGTTTTGTATTGTTTTTCTTTGTCTGTTTGTTTGTCTGCAATAAGCAGGAATTGCGATTTGATTCATTTCAATTTTTAGAGATGAAAAGAAGATTGAAATAATCTTTAGTACCTAACAGTTTACTTCAGCATATGCCATACATATGTTACCTTAAGTTTAGCTAAAAAGCTTGCATTTATCTTTGTAGGCAAATACGAAGAGAGGATAGAAAGAAGAAAATACCTTAGATTCCGAACACCCTGAAAAGATTGATTGATCAGTGACGTTAACCGATTTCATGTTGTCTCGGTATATTCGCTGGCAGAATTTTATCGATTATTTTGTTATGTGACCAATAAGCTAGGAGACAGATCATCTCAGTGCACTTTGATGGATATTAGTTAATTGGGCACAGTCGATAGGAAGCTCTGGACCTAGGTTTCGTGCTTGTTGTTACAGATCAACAAGGTACATTTGAAATGTCAAGGTGACTGTGGTCTCACCAGACACTTGAACTTGTTTCATTCATTCACTACAATCAGGAACGTTTACCTCTGAGCTATTCGAGGCTAGATCTCAGGAAAATAAATACTTTTATCTGTCCGAATGACCAGCAGTTTGGCAACATAAAAGAGGAAATAGGTAACTTGAAGAAACAACAAAATTTATAAAGTTTGCAGACATTTATTTAGGCAGTGAAACTAATGACAGTCACCAACTCTTTGTTAATGGCTACATTTATTTGCCTCAATCAGTAGAGAGTGAAGCCAGTGGAAGACCATGGTGGATAGTCGCACTATATTGCTGTATGACAGGACTAGGAAACTGTGGACCATTGAACTAAAACCCAGTGGCTTAACTGTTAGCGCATTTGCCACAGAAGGTCATGAGTTTTATCCCCAATGAACCCGTTAGTGGAAAATGCTGAAGTGTCCCATAGTAGGACTAAAGAGCTGTCCACTTCTCCAGACTCTTAGTGGTTCTCCAACAAATGCCAATATGGAATGAATACTACCTTGAAATATATAAGCTTCCCACGAACCTCAAACTAAGCATATGTTTTAGGATGGGATTCATCATGAAATAACATCAGCTGGAGGGACGTTGGAAACCTGGGAGTCCTAATATGAGACTTCTCAGCACTGCGCACCCACAACCCCGCCAGAGGTCGAACCCAAGTTTCGTGGTCACCTACCATTACCATTGAGTCACTGAGTTGGAATTCAGTGGTCCATATTTCTTACTACTCTCATTTCACGATATGACGCGATCTGCATCCAACGTTGTATTTGAGTAACTATCCTCATATTTGGCTTGGTTGACACCATTGGTCACGACTTCTCATTGGAACCTCGGGAATCACGTCACAAAGCTAGTCACCAGTGAGCGCTACATTAATTCTGTCCGGAGATTTGTGGTTTGTTGTGATGAATCCCAGCCAAAAATCAATTAATGAACATCTACAAACCTCCAGATAGAATTAAACATGTTTTTGTTCATACGTCAAGGTCACCGATATCACTAATAGCAATTAAGTTATGCTCGAAACAGCATGCGCTAAATAATACAATAACTTAGTATACAATGATGTGTTATTCGATGAGAAGAATAATCTGTCCTTATGCTAACATTGGTAAGAATACCTATACTGCTCAAACATTACTGTATCACTTGCCTTGAGGAAGCTGGCCTTTCAGATGATTTCGACTTGATAAAGGACATGAATATTCTGCATTATTCATTTTGAGCGTTTTGTCTACTAATACGTATTAAAGTAGTTAACAATTATTCACAAAACTTAAATGACCTCTTAGTTAACATTGTTCTTTTTTGTTAACATAAAATGCAGAACGACAGAACCCGTTAAGTGGAGAAAATGTTGACAGTTACACCTACCGACTTGGTGAGGCTAAACGAGCAGTGAAGAAAAGAGGTGAGGTTGGTGGTGTCATTCTGTGTATAATTTTTGTTTTGTCATTTCATCCTGGTTATAATGAGGGAATTTTTAAATCAAAGTGAAGACAGATTTTCGGAGTAGATATTCAGCTTTAACCTTTATCAATGAATGTTACACCACCAGGATAGGTGAACGTATATAGTTTGTAAGTTATGAAATGATCATTTCTCTGTGTAGCACCCCTCAGGAGTGTGCACTCATGACGCTGTCAGAGACCGAACCTAGGTCCTTCAGGTTATGCAGCAAGCGCCTTACCATTGAACTACCGGGTGGGAGTTCAATGGTTCACAGTTTCCTACTTCCGTCAACTCACGACGTAGCGTAACCTTCACTCAATGGCTGAATGGTGACATGTTCGCTACCTTAAGGTTCTAAGTTCGTTATTCCGCGAAGTCATGAGTGTGCACTGCTGCAGAATCTTCTAGTATGATTAAGGTGGTGTCCAGTGCTCCGAGGTTTTCAGTGGTTCTCCACATGATACCAGTCACTGATGAAATCATATCACTGGCTGATTTAAGTTGGGATGCCAATAAGAAATGTTTTTAAGTGAGAACAAGAGTAAGATTCTTTGGGTGGATGTTTCAGTTTCTACAGCTGTTATATCACTGAAGAAGAAAGTTTCTAACTTCATAGTTAGTAGTAAATGATGCGTATATAATATAATGTTAACGCATTGGACACATTGAACCCATCGTGAGCTACAATCATTCACCGAGTACATTATGCTTCAGACAGCAACACTAGACCCATGACCGTTCACTGGGAAGGAAAACATTCAAATACATGAAATTCTAATGGATGACTTACTGAAAAATTCACTGTTTTTTCAATTTTCCCTTGTTCAACAGTGAAGTTGATAAGATGCCCAACAGCATAGATTTACTGTTGAACTATGAAAATTTTGACTTCAGCTGGATTCTATTTGAGCTGTAAATAAATTTCCCAGTGAAACGAACATTATTTTTAAAGAGTGAACGTGTCTTAGTGCATATTGATTTTGACATAATGTGAATACATTTATCAATGAAGTTTCTTATCTGATATTACTTATGTTCAGTCTTCAATTCTGATTGAATAAAATATCAGTTTGACTATCTGAGATAATCATGATTTAGCAGCCTTGTATTGATACTGGGTGATGATTGAAGGTGAAGTGAAAATCTGGGCACAGCGGCATGTTTGGAGCCAACAACGTCTGATTACCGGCACGGTGCTCTATCAAATAAGTCAGGAGATTCATCTGCTCATTTGATAAAACACTGGGCCGATGGGTTGGAGGTCGCTAGTTTAAATCCTTCCGTATCCCAGGTTTCATTTCACCTTCAGTCATCACCTAGTATTAATAAATTATAACTGACAAGTGCTATGAGCAGAGTGACAATTTTTTTTTCTTCATCGGTTGTTTGTTGAAAAACTGTTTTAGTCATATTAGCATGTCTAAGAGCCCCTCTACAGGTAACCACGGTTCTGAATTGTAAGACGCCTTTTTAGGATTAAAAGGTGTGAAATAACTTGACAATCATCATCATCATCAACATGAATGCAAGAATGGAACTAATCTGGTAATCAGCTTTGCTGCTTTTCAAGTGCACTCAGTTGGATAAAACAATTACTGCACAGATTAACAACAGTGTTCTGTTTATTAAAACAGTTTTAAAGTGACTACCAGATAATTACCATATTTTTAGGGTTATTTTGTTAATACGCCGTTGCGAGTAAACACTTAAAGCGAATGATGAACACCACAAAAATAAATAGGTGATACAGAGGATGAAATGTATTGAAATTCTTTTGGCTGAATTACCTGGCTATTGATTTAACATCATCATAAACTACTCTATAAGAAATTGAATGGTTTCTGTGATAGTTCGTGTTCCACAAATCTGTAAGTTTAGTCGTGATTAGACATATTTAGGCAAATAAGAAATGCCTCGTTTTGCTATTCGTGGTATATCTTTTAACAAATATTATGATTTTTTCACGCGCATTCAGACAAACAAATTCAACTAGTTCATCGGTTCAACTTGCCACACTTTACAGTAGTATACACAGAACAAGAAGGACGGAAAAGACTGGTATCTACACAAAAAAGGTAAACTGGAGGAGATCGAATTTAAAACTGAAAGTTAGTCAAAGCATCCAAGCTTAAGAAGTGCCACTATGACTGATTTTTAGCCACCTCAACAAGAGTTCTCAGTAATTAGTTATTATCGTCTCGGGGACCCCAGCCAGGCATTCATTTTCATAGTGTATATATAGTTTCTATACCTGACGGACTGAAATATGACTTGTGTAGATTCTAAAGGATTCTTTGAAAAGAGTTCATATGAGCCTATTGTCATCTTTAGTCGGAGATTTCAATTTAATTCTTTATAGTTCAGGGCAATTCCTAGTCGAAACATACTTATTAGAGGAGAAGTAACCACTTCTGTATCAGGAATATACTCAGTACAGATTAGGTGACATACCTCCTCTGCATAACCTATTAAATTTCCTAACGCTAGTCACTTGTGATGTCTAAGATAATTTACAACTGCACAGTGTGGAAACCCAAGCATGCAGCAAATGCATTTTCAAAGTGTAATGTGTTTTTAGGACAGTAAGAAAACCGATTTCCTGCTTTAAATTTGTCGATATTCAGAGGACATATACACACTGATGGCGAATGCGATGGAGGACAAAAGAAAAGACAACAAATCGGGAAAACGAGAGTGAACTTCATTGTATCCCAAGAGAGGAACAAAGCATGTGAAGAGAAATTTGAGGCTGGATCAATACTGTTGCGACAGTTTCAGCCATGTACAGCAGATGCTGGTGACCTATACGTGGTACTATTTTTGGTACACGATGTACAGCATTAAAAGCTTTATTAGCATCTCTGTGATACATTGTGTTTACTAGATCCTGTGGGATAGAACTTTTCACCACTTTCACTCAACGCTTTTCTAACCAAACTTGTAAACTATCTAGTATCTGTAGACTCACCTGCCTAATCACATTCACTATGTAACTTGTTACACTGGGATAGTAAGGATGGAAGAATAGAAACTAAGATTAGGAAGGCTATCCTTAAGTCTCGGGTTGAGTTAACATTGACCGACTGCTGAAAGACTTGCAAAGGCAACTTGCATAAAATGTTCCATTGACTGCTCTAACTAGGATCCGTGATAGGATGTCACTTGGAGAGTCTCCGTTGAGTTGTAGTCACAAGAACAAGGGCTGCTTTTATACTGTCATGAATTTTCGTCAAAATAAATACCCTCAAAGTTAACAAAACTAGTTCTAATCACTACAGAGCCGAACCACCAATTTTTCAGATCATAATCAACTACTAGTCAAATTGGTTGAAGTAAACTAGTTGGCCACTGGATGTATATATTAATATAAGCCAAGTAGTTGAATCTCACAGGCCGATGACGGAAGCACCATGTTGGTAACCTGGCGGCCAGCGATGCTGACTTATCCTCAACTTTCTTACTTACAGCTTACAAACGGTCCAAGGAATTCGAATAAATATCGGAGAAAACGTCCTGTCACAAAAGCTTTTGAGCTTCTCCAAGCTAGAAACTGTGATTTTCTGTCAGCTTATCAGTTTTAAGTCATCACTGTCTAGTCGTAGTATTGTTCTCACAGGTCTCTAGATATTTGAAGAATGACGCGATCTTCATCCCAGCTGGAGTCTAATACTCTTTATAGGTAGGTGACTGCTCTTATTATAAAGTGAATTAGGTGCCATCAGCTAAGGTATTGGGCAAGTAACTAGACAGAAAATGTTCGCATAACCTAGACAGAGTTCTGTCCAATGACTGCACATGTCACTGTGAAACTTTACTTTGTTACCAGATGCTGGAAAAAATATTTTTCTAAAGCTTATTCGACATCTACAGTATAGTGAACAAGGCGTTAGTTATCCGTGAATCAGCTTTCAGAATCTAATCGGAATTAACACTATCTGTCAACTTGTTTGAATCTTCCACTTCAATATTTTCCGCCTAATGCCCTTAGTGTTTTTTTCAAACACTTTTTCCCGCGGGTTTTAATTCCACTTTTCACGAAGACTGACTGTGAAGAATGATGATCACTATTAGGTGTTTCTGAAGTGATGACTGTGGAAGTTTAATCAGAAAACTAGATACATTCATCGATGTTGATTTAAATTTCCATTTCTAAATACGTACCCTCTTTTTTATGTGTATCTATCTAAATGCTTCATCTTTACGCAACGAATTATTAGTAACACCGTTCTTTTCTGCAACCTCAATTTAGTCAAATTGCTGTTTCATCTTCTTAAGTTTTACGACTGTCTTACAATGGAGTCAGTGCTCGGTTTTTGGGGCATTTCTAACACTTGAAATAAGCGCACATTTCCCGGTATTACATCATGTATGTCACTGCATATGGACAATTATAAATATGAATTCGGTCCTCAAAATGTTAAGATCTTAGACAGTGGAAACACAAAGAATACCAGTGAATTCATAGAAGCTTGGTATTAGGTCAGCCAGCAAGAATTACCATAAACATAGACCCAGTCTACCAACCAATAAGAAAATGGACAGAAAAATACAGGTCCAGAGGTCAGGCAGAGAAACAGTAAATCGTAAAACGTATGCGGTCAGTGGCACTAAAATCAAAGAAGCTACCAGTCACACACAGCTTCATCAGGGCAAGTTGCTGGATCATTTATGCAGAAATATAAGTAAGATTGTTTTCTAAAGAGGATTTTTAAAATTGAATGAATAATCCTGTCCTTACATTTACTTGCATTGCATCAAAACATATCTGTACAAGTGACTAGTGTCTCAAGTGACTCCAATAACACTAACAAAAAGCAACAATCTCAACGAAGAACATTCGTTTTGATAAGTGTTCTCATAAGCTTCTACCAGCATAAAATGCAACTATACAGTGTAAAAATAAGCCAGATTTGGTTGGAATGTAGTTTCAAAGTGCCATGTGGTTTCGGTGACAGTTGG